ATGGCACCGTCAGAAAGCGCCGACTTTCCTGATGGGCAGTAGCAAAGACGTGTGTATTTGGTTACATACGTCCCCACGGCGCGCATGAGCCGTCATGGACGCTTGGCTTTCCGAGAGATGAGAGTCAGAGAGAGTCGAAATTGCGCGCGACGGAGACATTTCCCATGCGGAACAAGCCGCAGAAGCCAGGACCCAGATAATGGATCCGGAAGGCGGGGCTCTTCCACTTGTCCGCCCGTCAGGGGCCAACGAAGCAAAAGAAGCTTCTTTGTGTTGACGCAACAGGAGTGCCGGGGCGCGCGCAGGCTTTCGTGTCAGGCTTCGTGGGTACCCATGCCAAACAGTAACGGGCGAGCGAGAGCCGTGACATGTCACCGAAGACGACGGATTGGGGGAAATGGCCGGGGCGTACTGCTTTGTGTTCGCGCCCACGCATGTAAATACGACACACACATGCATTTGACACAGTAGCAGTTGCACGAGTGCATTGCATTTTCGATCGTCTTCTGGAGACTGCATAGGCGCGCTTGGCACATGACGGCAGAGCAAGTCAATACACAAGCTTACAGTAGGTAGGTAGGTAGGTAGGTACCTAAAAAAAAAGGTATACAGAGGAGTACCAACCAGGCCTTGCTTGGGAGCGCAGAGAGTCGATAATCGAGGTTTTTAAAGTGCCCGGCAGCGAGAGCAGGCGGTGGACGCGGTGCCGTTTGCCCACGCCTGCCCGACCCCCCTTCCCCCTTCCTTCCTTCCTTCCCCCTTTTTCTCAACGAAGAACGACAGAGGTTGCCTGCCCGTTGGCTCATGATGACTAACAAAAGCTGGCGTGTTCGTACAGTACCTGGGTACCTAGGTACATGCAGTACAATTTTGCCTAGGAGTGGCCTTGCAAGGCCATCGTCCACCCCCATCCACGTCCAATCCATGACCTCGTCCCGAAAGACCCTTGCCAGCTTCCTCAGCAACCAGGGGGTCGCCAGCCAACCGGCAGCGACTGATGGCCGTCCCACGGCCCAGCCCAGCCCAGCTCCTCCTGGAGTCTTGGTGCATACAGCACAGCACTAGAGCCAACGGGCAACGCGCGGCTGGCGGATGCATGCAAGATGGCTCGCGGGAAACTACTTATCCAAGTGCTGAGTGAGTGTGCACACTACTGTACCAGTAGGGGGGAATCATCAAACCCGCTTCTCCTCCCGCCTTGCTCTGGACGAACCGGATGCCACGCCGACAGTGTTTGCTGACCCATGCCCCCAGAGACCTGGGGCCAGCCTCTGCCCTTCTGCTCCTCGGCCCAGCTCGGTTGTGTCGCAGGGCCCGGGGTGGACAGGATACCTATTGCCGCAGTGCGAACCCGTCTCCCCCCTATTCCTCGCGCCGGGCCCCGTCTCCTCGTCCGCATCTGCCACCTGCGTTTGCTAATTAGGCTTTTCTGACGCGCCTGCATGCATGCGTCCAAAGAACGCACACGTACCTACATACGCACATACATACTCAATCGGCCTCTTGGCGCATCTGACGGGGAAGTAGATCCGGCCAACGGACGTCACAAGAATTACCCGACGACGGGTCAATGCTGCTGACCTGTCCTACCCAACCGAACCTTTTCCACTTGGCTCCGTCCAGACACGTGTTACACCATGTCATATGGGGCATACTGCAGTATGTACACGGGCGTTGGCAGTGGAACGCCTGGGCTGCATGTTTTGGGAGCGCGTCGTGTGGATATGCCATGCCCAGCCGACAATCCCTCGTCTCCATCCACGTCGGCGGCCTTCACCCTGCCTCGGCCCCATCTTGGCAGGTATGGAGAGAGAGATTGTCATACGGTGACGAGGAGATGAAGGTGACAAGGGGACCAAAAGGGTAGCATGAAGAGACGACGATTCGAAGAGGGGCCTAACGAGTCGTGTGCCGTCAGCCTCTGGGCCTACAGACAGACAGACAGATGCAGGCATACATACAGCCTGTACAGAATACAGATCCTTCCGTCGGCACCCGACACGATCTAGCCCGCCGGGGATGCCGCATCTGCATACGACCGGGGTCCGTCCCTGGTTTGATGAATCCTCACGATGGGGTGGCACCATCCCAACGTCCCATCAAAGTTCCGCGGGCCATGGCTGGATCCGCCCTATGGCCCCCTGGACGAGCGCGTCTAAGATGGGCGGATGGGCGCCCTTTCCCTTGACGAACTCACCGTGGCTGTTGGTCGCCCTTGCGCGAGAGATCCATGGCTGGAGAAGAGCATCGTGACATCCCAGCATCGTCTCCTTGCTCACCGGCGCTGCTGCCCCGGTGGTGTTGGCCCCCGTCTCTTACCGCTGGCGTGCCCGAATCTCTTGCACCGCCAACAAGCCATGGCGCAGCTGGGACGCACCGACGCAGCTTCCCCAGCAGAGCGGTCAGGCCTCTTGTTCCTCCTGGCCCCCTCGACTCGGATCCCAGGTAAGCTGGCTCGCCTATCCCGGCTGCGGCGAGCAACAAGGCTCTCTTCTCCTGTCCCCGGGACCCGAACCTGTTCAGCTCACCATCAGCGTCTTTCCCTGCATCGCAGCCGCCCGTCTACCGGGGCATCCTTTCGTACCCATCGGCTAACTCCCTACGAAGATCAAGGAGCAAGCACCATCTCGCAATAGCGTCACAACCGCAGCCGATATCTCGCCCTGCTCCGCCAGGCGTGTCCGCTCTTGATGCATCGCATCGGCCTCATGCCATGACGTGGCAAGTGCTCGCCGGTGGTATGCGAAGGGCTTAAGTTCCAAGCCCTGGCGTGAGCTAGAGTCCTCGACTCGCCGCCTAATGTGTAGGGCCGACGACAGAACATGGAACGCCTCTCGCAAACGCCAAGCCGGCTTTTCATGCTTGGTCAAGGGCGTGACGGGAGAATCAAACATGGTCTCCTCTGGGGAAGTGGATGTTTCCTCCCCTCCTGAACCCTTGCTACTGCCCGGCGCCTTCTCCCATGCCATGGGAACCGGAACCGCATCCCGAGGTGTTGGACCACTCTCTGATGGCCGAACCGGGCTGTACGTTGACCACGAGAGGAGACGCGAGTGCGGTTCCGCATCAAGTGGAGAGGCCTTGAGCCATGGTTTGACCATAGAATGCCCAGCAATGATTCATCCGGAAGCCAGTTGCATGGAAGTCAATCGGGGCAGCATTATTCAGTATTCAAGTACTTACGAAGTATCTCCGGCAACAGGTTGCGAGATGCCTGTCGTCGTCCCTCTGATGGAGGTCACGACGGTTGCTTCTTGGTCATCGAGTCAACGGGAGTCACAGGTTTAGTGATGATTCCGTTTGAAAAGGCCCCGGGGGTTCTAGGTCTCGCAGCCTCGCTTGGGTTTCCAGTGGAGAGGTCAGTCAAAACAAGCCGAAATCGTCTGTCCTGTCTCTACCTGGGGGGTCCGAGCTACGGTCAAGTGGCCTGGCGTGGCCGCCAGAAGGAGCGACGCCCTCTACGAGCACATTTCACGCATACACACTCGCGCACAGTACACATGATAAAGAGCAGAATGCTTCCGGCTCCTACCCTTGATGATCCACACAACAGACTGGTGTTATCAGGACAGGCCCAGCTGATGATCTGGAAATGCTCAACGCAGGGGGAGTGGCCGGTCGGCAGCCGTATTCGGGCCTCGGTTCCGGCAGCAAAGCGTCCTCTCGCCCTTGCGGGGAACTCTGATGTCGTGGATTCAGGCCGCAGTGTCGAGCAGAGATGGCGTAATGCCGGAGTTGACACACGCATGTTGCTTGTGCAACCCGGCGAAGGGCTCCGGCCGACCCCGAGCATATCTTGCCTTTGCGCTGGAGTTGCTGCGCCCCTCCCCTTTCCGGGGTGCACAAAGTCAAGATGGCCTCTCTGAATGACCCGAGATGCCCTACAAATTGTTGGACGAGTGCAAGCCTATTCTGATGCGTGTGGCCCGAAGCTATGCCGAAAGACGGCCGGTATCGGCCTGGACACGAGGGGCCGGCGAACGCCACATGCCCGGCCGCAGATGACGGAATACATACGGGTGGCCCACTAGGGAACTGACTCGTGTCCCGCAACGGCGTCGGGTACACGCGGGCTCTCTACAGTATTGGTACATATACGTACTGCTCTGGCCGCGTTGAGGAGCTGGGATGGTTGAGGCAAATGCGAGAAGTAGTCGACCGAGACGACTGCTAATGGAGATGGAGAGCCACCGGTGTCAGCGGAGCAGGAATTCGGAAGAATAGAGCTGAATAGGTCGACGGAGGCTGGTCCCGGAAGAGAGGCGGTTGCTCAGACCAGAATGAGAGTAAAGACCAGCGAAGAGGCGGAGAAGGGCTCGAGAGCCAAGAAGGGACGTCCTCGCCTAGGCAACCCCAGATTAATGCTGTACAGTATAATGCCTTGGAGAAATGCCACGTGGCAAAGATGAAGAGGACGATGATGGCGGCAATGGTCGGGGAATCCTCGACCTCGACTCGGCGATGGGCCGGAGAGGCGGCGGGGATTTGTCGGCTTTTGCGGGTTCGGGCAGCTCCGGAAGGCATCTGGCTGACTAATCGAATTGACGTCCTCGAGAGAAGGCTATGTCATCTTTGTCTCGAGACTTTTACGGAGTACCAGGTGGTCATAAAAGAGCAAAGAAGCAGACTGACATGCGCGTTTTGTGACGCTTGTCCCCTCCACTTGACCATCTTTATGCGACCCAGCAAGCACGCAAGCAATCAATCAATCAATCAATCAATCGAATCGACCTTTCCTGGGCACTCGTCGACCAACCATCTAGCCTTGGGTCGCCATCGTCAGCGGTAATTACTCGACGTGGGCATTTCGTCATTTGCCTTTTGCTGAGCAGGACGAGTTTGGAGTCTTCGACATACCTGGGGTCCCACACGCACAAAAGTCCGCGAGGAGAAAAGAGGTCCGGTCGACATCCGGCGGTGCCGCGAGAAAGACGAATCAGCTTGACCCGCACCTCCTCGGACAGCTCGCATCATCGTCCCCACCCCACCGCTCGCCCGCCATGAAGGTGCTCAGCCCAGAGGAGGAAAAGGCGCACTACGCGGCCGTGGTCAAGGGCGGCCTCATTGGCGGCTCGGCCGGTCTCGCCCTCGGCCTCGGCGGCGTCCTCTTCGCGTCGCGCCGCTACCCGGCCTTTCGCGGGCTGACGCTGCCCTTCCGCGCCTTCCTCGTCACCTCGACGGGCACCTTTGGCGCCATTGTCAACGCCGACCGCTTCAGCGTCCAGTTCCAGCGCGACCAGCACCCGGAGTCGCGCTACCGCGACAGCAGCGCCCGCGCCGCCGACATCATCCGCGAGAACGAGACGGCCTACCGCCGCTTCCTCGCCTGGGGCCGCGAGAACCGCTACAGCATCGTCTTCGCCTCGTGGGTCGCCAGCATGGCCGTCGCCCTTGCCCTCGTCGGCCGCGCCCCCATGAGCACCTCGCAGAAGCTCGTCCAGGCCCGCGTCTACGCCCAGGGTCTCACCCTCGCCGTCCTCGTCGTCTCCGCCGCCTTTGAGATGAATGACGCAAAGAAGGGCAGCGGCCGCTGGGAGACGGTCATGGTACTCGACCCCAACGACCCGGAGCACAAACACCTCATCGAGAAGAAGATTCACAAGGAGGAGTACGAGGGCCAGGACCTCTGGAAGGGTAAGCTTCTCCGAGTCCGGCCCGTTGCCTTTACATACTCCCTGTCCAGCATGCTGACCATCGCGCCCCCAGACATGGTCGAGGCCGAGGAGCGACGGATGCAGGCCAACAAGGCCGGCACCAACAAGGCCGGCAACAACAAGTCATGATTGCTCTGGTCCATCCATACGCGTCCTCTATCTGATCGCTACAAAATGGCGACCTCACGCCATGGCTACGCAGCTCATCTCCGCTACACCACCCTCAGTAGGCTCCTCCTACTTATTCAGGACGCCCCATCTCCTTGCTTTGACGGACTGGCGTTGGGGAAAAATTTGCGCTATGGTTTTGTCCTTGGTGCGGACAGAGAAAAAAGGATTCTTCGATATCAAGGAATCGTCTCGTCGCATGGCTTGCATGTATGCCTGTAATACTGTGGTACAAGAACCGAGTGGGGATGCTATCCAAGTCCTTCCCTTGGCTTCAGGCTCCTCTGTGTATATGTGTGTGGACATGGCCAAGTCTTGATGATAAGCATTGGGTATCAAATAGACCTTGTCCCATGATCGGCTGCAACTCCCGATCCGTCTCATACCTCAATGGTGAAGTGGCTAATCTGCGAGTAGTAGGCATGAACCGCCAGCTCCAGAATCGTCACGTCGCCAAACACCTCGGTCCCGTCGAAGCCGCCAATGACCAGGAGCCTGCTGTCATGCAGCACCGTCGTGTGGTAGCCCCGTTCGCTGAGCGGCTTGCCGTACACCTTGCGCTTGTCCCATGTCATGGTGACGAGGTTGAGCAGCAGCACGTCGTTGCAGTACTCGTCGCCGTCGTGGCCGCCGATGACAAAGAGGTATGAGCCCACCAGGGTGGCCGTGTGGGACAGACGGCGAAAGGTGACGGGGATGTCGACGGCCTTCCACACGTGCGTCTCCACGTCGTATATCCAGACGTCGTCGAAGCACTCAGCGCCGTCTGAGCCCCCGAATATGATGAGCTTGCTGCCGCTCATGCTGCCCGAGTGGTAGCCGCGCGCCTTGGGACGGTAGTCCGTGGTGCCCCCACGGCTCCTCTCCGGGTTCGATATCAGCTTCCAGGCCATCTTGGTGGCGTCGCTGACGTCGAGCCGCCAGATGTCGTTCAATGCCTTGTCTCCGTCGCCACCGCCAAACACGTATATGCCGTTCTTGTAGAGACAGGCCACGTGCGCTCTCCTCGGGCACGGCACCTTGTCTCCCAAGATACGTGGCTTTGTCCACCGAAAGGTGAGCGTGTCCAAGACGTAGACGCCGTTGTAGTACGTCGGTCCGTCACCGCCACCAAACACGACAATCTTCTTGCCCACCGCCGTGCAAGTCATGGCTCGCAACGGCATGGGCATCTCGCCGATGACGCGCGGGACGGACCAGTAGAATGCATCGGCGTCGAGGACAAACAGATTGTTGAAGCAGGTGCGCGAGTCCCAGCCCCCAAACACATGAACGCTGGAGCCGATCAGGGTGGCCGAGTGAGCCCGCAGGTTGGGATGCGGAGAGCCGGAAACCATGGCTTTGGACCAGTACATGCCCGAGGCCGGCGCGGGCTCCACGTCGGGCGCATCCTTGGGATCATGAAGCGGGGGAAAAGGAATGTGCTGGCCCCGTGGCGGACGGGTGACCCTGATGGGCGCCTGACGCGTCGCCGTGGTCGAGGCAGACAAGGTTCCGCGATTGGCTGGTGTAGTGGCTGGCCGTCGAGGGCCCTGCTTCTTCTGCTCCTTGGCATCCTGGGCACGGGGGGGCTCGACGGCACTGCTCGAGGCAGGCAGCGGTTTCGGTGCGTCCTGCGCAGGTGCGGCAGATGTGGACGGCCTCGAGGCCGAGGAGGAGGAGACGTAGGACGCCGACTGGGCGCGTTGGCGAATCGAGAGGTCCGAGAGGTCCGAGAGGTTGCGCCGGCGGTCTTTGACGCTCTTGCCGGCCAAGTGGCCGGGTGTCTGGCTTCGCGGCAGTGGCAGCGGCTCGTCGTCGGATTCGCGCGGGGGCTCGGGGTTCTTGGCCTTGCTCGGTGCGTCGTTCGACGGGTCCGGGAGGATCTTCTGCGAGCGCACCGTCTTGACCTTGGGCGCCGCGTCGGCTGATCCGCCCGAGTCCGCCATGGTGTTACGAGTCACAAGTCGATGCCATGGCCAGTGAGATTTTGATGGTGATGCCGCGACCCGGCCGCTGACGCGAGTGTGCGCTGGACGGAGAGGAGACGACGGGCAAGGGGGTGTAGGGGAGGAGGGATAAACTTGATGTCAAGGCGTCTCTGGACTTGAAGCTACCTACCTTGGCTCAGTACTGTACCTTGCCAGGATGCTCGAGGTACTTCCGGATCGGTAGCCGTCTGCCCCGCACCCATGTACTTGATGCTAGACAAGAAGCAACCCCGCCAAAAAGCTTCAACTGAAAGAGCTGGAAAGTCAGCGACGGGCAGTCCGACCTTTGCTTTGAGCGCAAGTGCTGCAACCGAAGAGAGTCAATGTTTGTCTCTGACCTGAATTTATCTTCATTTCATTTCATTGTATGATTTTTCGGTGGCATGTCATCACGTGCAGCTAACGAAATGCTGCCAGCCGTCGACGGAGGGAGTTCCTAGCACCACCATTTCGTTGGCGGTTGAAATTTTTGCCTCCAACAACCTCTCAACTCCGGCTCACCGGAAAGCCAAAGACATCGACTCTTGTGCATTGACTGCACCTGGCCACAAGCCCGTCTCGAGAATATCTTGTCTTCCGCCTCTCTTGTTCCTGGAAAGGTCCAGACGGGCGCAGAAAGACGCCAATTCTCTCATCGACATTCTTATCACTCACTTCGACCTCGATCAACCAAGCCAGGGGCAGACAGCCGACAACTTCTCTCGGCACTCAGACGTCGGCAATCCTACTAGGTAGCTCACCTGGTGCCATCCATTCACCATGCCGGAAGAGGACGAGGCGCCCCCTCCTCAAGGTCAAAGTCAGCTCACAACCGACGAGAGCAGCGTCCCGCCTACCGAGGAGCGAGCTGCGAAGCGACTTAAGATGGACGTTCCGGCCGACTCTGAAAAGGCGGATGCCACCGTCAACCCAGCTTCTGGCGGCGCTTCCCCTGCTGAGGTGGCAAAGGTAGACGAGAAAATTAAATCTGGCGCGGCCAACGCCAACGGCCGCGACAATCGCCAATCCGGGCTGGCTCCTATCAAGAAAGAGTGAGAATTGCTTCTCGAGTACCATGTGAAGCCAGCCTAACTCTGTGCCAGGTACTTGATTGATGTTGCCACGTCCAAGGACGCATCGTCTGACGCTGCCAACGATGACGAGGCCGAGGGCCGCGGCGTACAGGCTGATGGCGACATGCGGAGAGACAGCCGGAACGCTGGCGGAACAGCAAAGGGCAGGAAGGACAGGAAGAAGAACAAGGGTCAGAACACGGGACGCACATTCGGGAAATTCGACGACACCATCCGCCTCTGCAACAGCAGAGCCTTCTATCCCGAGTTCTCGCCCCGCGAGTGCAGGTTCGGCGATCGCTGCAAGCTGAGCCACGACCTCCGGAAGTATTTCGCAGAGGGACGCCGGGACGACGTCGATGCCCTTGGTGGCAAGTGCCACGTCTTTGAGCAATACGGCTCGTGCCCCTCAGGCTGGAAATGCCGCTTCGTTAAGAGCCACATGCAGGAAATCGAGCGTGAGGATGGGCGCAAGGAGCTTGTTCTGCTGGGCAACTCTGGCGAAAAGGGCCCGCCCAGCGGTGCCGCGGAGCAGACTGGGGAGGCTGGGGAGCAGAACCCCGAGGCCGGCAGCGACGAGCCTGAAGAGCGTCGGCCTGGCGTCTTCAACGTCGTCGGCATGGAAGACAAGATCAAGCTCAGTCGCAAGCGCCTCGACTTCAGCAAAGCCGACGAGTACATAAAGTGGATGAACAGCGAGGCCGACATCAACCACGATTTCCACCATCGCCGCAAGGACCAGTCCTCCGAGGGCATCGAGGACCTTCGCGCCCGCTACGTCGATCCACCATTCAAGCCGTCCGAGAAGCGGCGCCTCTACTTTGGCCCTGAGACGCCCACTCTGGCGCCGCTGACGACGCAGGGCAACCTGCCCTTCCGACGGCTCTGCGTCGAGCTCGGCTGCCAGGTCACGTATTCAGAAATGGCCATGAGCATGCCGCTGCTTCAAGGCTCCAAGACGGATTGGACGCTCATGAAGGCTCACGAGTCGGAGGTTTCCCCGCCCAAATTCAACCCTGGCCGGACCTTTGTGTTTGACGACTACGACAACTCCAAAGACTTGAAGTTTGGCGCCCAAGTCTCCGGCCACCAGCCTTGGATGGTGACCAAGGCAGCCTCTGCCCTGAGCCGCCTCTGCCCTCAGCTCCGCCTCATCGACCTCAACTGCGGCTGCCCCATCGACATGATCTTCAAGGCGGGCGGCGGATCCGCGCTGCTCGAGTCGCAGGGCAAGATGGAGCGCATGATCCGGGGCATGAACGCCGTGTCCGGGCCCATCCCCATCACCGCCAAGATCAGAACGGGCGTCAAGAGCAACCGCCCCGTCGCGCCTCAGCTGCTCGGCAGGCTGGCCTTTGGCTCCCGCGAGCACCGGGCCCGCCTCGGCGCCCCCGGGTGCGCGGCCGTGACGCTGCACGGGCGCAGCCGGGAGCAGCGCTACACCAGAAAGGCCGACTGGGCCTACATCGGCGAGTGCGCCGCCCTCATCAAGTCGTACAACGAGCAGAAGGACGCCCTGACGGACACGGCGGCGGAGCCCGACGAGAGCACCCTGCCCAACGCCAAGGACGGGCGCATGTACTTTCTCGGCAACGGCGACTGCTACTCGCACGTCGACTACCTCGAGCACGTGGACCAGGCGCACGTCGACAGCGTCATGATTGGCCGCGGCGCCCTCATCAAGCCCTGGATCTTCGAGGAGATTGAAAAGGGCCAGTACCTGGACAAGTCGTCGAGCGAGCGCCTGGGCTACGTCGAGAAGTTTGCGCGCTACGGCCTCGAGGCCTGGGGCTCCGACGAGGTCGGCCTCGGCTTCACCAGGCGCTTCCTGCTCGAGTGGCTCAGCTTTGCGCACCGCTACGTGCCCATTGGCCTGCTGGAGCGTCTCCCGCCGAGCCTCAACGACCGCCCGCCCGCGTACAAGGGCCGCGACGAGCTCGAGACGCTCATGGCCTCGACCAACTACAGGGACTGGATCAAGATTACGTACGTGGGCCTGCATTTCTATGCTTCGTCGTCCCCTCTCCTCCCCACCCAGCCTCTTCCCCTCTTCACGCCCCGTGTTCATGGCAAGCCAGTTTTGGTACTAACTGGGGAAACAGCGAGATGTTCCTCGGCCCCGTCCACCCCGGCTTCCAATTCCAGCCCAAGCACAAGTCCAACGCTTACGAGGCCGAAGGGTGAAGCGGCGTGTTGGAGCCCAGAGGGAAGAGAAAGGCTGGTGAACCAGCATAAAGGACGTCGGAGATGTACCGAGGACGAGCTTTTGCTTCTGGGGCTTGGCGCGCGTGTAGCATCGCCCCTGTCATGCTTCGCGATCGCGCGGCCGCAGCGAAGACAATCCGTAAATACACGAAGTGGTAGTAGACCTCGGGCAAGCCATAGGCACCCTGACATACACAAGAGACTCGCTTGATTCAAACGAACGGCGTGCTCAGCACGGCCATCCTGACGATCCATGGCTGTCCAAACCAGATCTTCGCTATAAAACCCAGCAAGAAGGATCAATTGCACAAGAACGCCCATCCCTCACGGAAAAAAAGGATATCCGTGTACAGCCATTTTCAACGCCCGTTACTAGCCAGCCGACCTGATACACTGCCGATAATATGCACAAAACCCGTCCCCCAAGCACCCTCAAGCTTTTCATTCCGCTTCACGAGTAAAAGTGACTTCTCTGCATACCACCCGCCGTGGCGTATTCCTTTTTGCCCTCTTCCGGCAATGATTCGACAGTGCTCGTTGTCGACACGTCCTCGCCGGCCACGCTCGCCGGCTTGGCCTGAATCTTCTTGACCTCCTGGCCGGGCCGCTTGAGAAGCTCGAGATAAGTCGAGGGCAGGTAGCCCTGACGCCCGTCGCGGGAGCGGCACTGCCACCACTCGCTCGGGTTGCCGGCCGGGTCGTTCTTACTCAGCACGGCGACGAGATCGCCCTTGCGAACTTGGAGCTCGAGGCCCGAGCCGTTGGCCGGGGGGAGGAAGTCGTAGAGCAGGCGGCAGAACTCGAGCTTGGACGGGTCGACGGCCTGCTGCGCCTGCAGGGCCTGTTGCTGGAGCCGGCGCTCCTCTTCCTCGTGGGAGGCGGCCAGGGAGCGGATCATCTTGGACATGAGGTAGGGGAGGCCGAAGGCGGCGGCGAGGAAGAAGAGGAGGGGCTTGCGGCTGGCTTTTGTGGGTCCCGGGGTGCCGTCAGGGCCGGGGGCGCGGCCCTCGAAGCGAGCGAAAGCGGCTGGAGTGAGGGCGGTGGCATCGGCCGGGGGAGGGCGGCCGGTGAGTTTGGCGATGAGAGTGCGGATCCAGCGCATGAGGGTGAAGATGCCGAGGATGGAGCCGAGGGTGTCGCGCAGGTTGCCGAACTGTTCGGCAACGGAGACCATGGCTGTAGCGCGGAATGAGTATCGAGTTGAACAAACATGTCATAGAGGAGAGCAGCCTACCGAAGAAACTGGAATGAGTGGCCATGTAGGTACTCTCGAGCATCTGCGCAAAGCCTCCAAATGCGGTGACGATGCCCTCGAGCATCTGGAAAGTGGCGGCGGTGCCGTTGTTGAAGCGATTCGTCAAGCTGTTAGGGTCGTTTGGGTTCCCTGGCATGCCGGACATGCCGCCGCCGTACATGCTTCCATACATGCCACCGCCGTAGCCTCCATACATGCCGCCTCCATAGCCGCCCATGGCTCCCATGCCGCCCATGCCGCTCATGCCGCCGAAGCGCGAGTATGGGCTTGAGTACGGAGACGAGTAGGCGCCGCCGTAGGCGCTGTATGGCGAAGCGCCGGCACCGACGCGGCTGTAGGCGGCAGCGTTTTGGTTGACGGCCGAGGAGAGGGAGGAGGGAAGTTCAGGTACTGGAGGGGGGTCGGCGGATGACGGCGAGGAGGACGTAGCGGTGGCGGATGAGAGGGCGGGATTCGCGGCTACGATGATCCAAGGTCAGCATCCGTTATAGAGAGGGCGTAGGAGGCAGCCAGACGCACCGGAACCGGGGGTGGCCGTGGCGGCGCCGGGCCTCTCCCATGGCTTAGGCGGCGATGCCATGGTCGCAGGCAGCGCGGCGCGAAATGGGAGAGGGAGATTTCGAGGCGGCGAGCGAGTGCGGTTTCGAAAGACGTTGTGCTCTTTCACCCGAAGCGATGATGCCGGACCGAGGCCAATTGGGCGACGGCGACGGAATCAAAGGCAAGGACGGGGTGGAAAACGGGGACTCGGAAATAAGTGGAGGAGGAAGCGGCAGCCGGGAAGACGAAGAGCCGCGAGCGCGTCGTCGAGAAGCGGGCGGGGCGGCTCTTGGGAGACGAGATGAGGCGGGCGACGGGTGGGTGGAGGAGGAGATTCAAGGTCGACGACGGTGTCGCGGCAGCCGTGGAAAAGGCGGGAGGCGAGCCTGTGAAGACGACGGGTGGAGACGAGCGCCCCGAGGTACCTGGAGAGGTACATCCAGCCCCGGCGCTGTCCAGTCATGGATGGAGTCGAGACGAGCCTCGGCAACTCGCTGCAGAAGAGGTACAGCCCACTAGGATCACAAAGACCACAGCAGGTACAAGCCTCATAGGCCACTGTACAGCTATAAAGCTTGTACCTGCTGGGGTCTTTGTCATCCTAGTGGGCTGCACGTACGTACCGTGCTGGGTAAGTACCTAGGTACCTAGGCACCTTTATGAACGTACAAACAACACTCGCTCAAAACGACGGCTGGACAAAGTACGCTGAAGATGCTTTATTCAAGTGCCGCCTCGAAGAATCACCCAGGGCTTGCAGATTCCGTTGGCAGTTGTCGATGGGGATGCAGGGAAGCAACGCGGTATGTCTCCGGCCTCCCTCCCCCCGAAGCCGGCGCCCGTCACCGTCGACAGTCAGCAGCTTCCTAACCAACTCCATTCCATCAACACCCTCACAGCCTTGAAGGGAAAAAAGAAAAAGGAAGTCCCCATGGCTTTCGCTGCATGACGGCGGCAGAGCCAAACACGTTGGTCTCCATAGCCTTGTTCCCGAGTAACAGGCACCAACCATGACAGCGCCCCCCCCAAAGCGCCCTCGCAGCCCCGGCCTCATCCCCAATCCCCTGGTCAAGAAGCGCAACCTCCAATGGACCCTGCGCTCTCCCGCCGCCAACGACAAGGACAACGACCACCACGCCTCGTCATCGCCGTCTCCGCCGCCGCCGCCTCCCCCTACCACCGCCGCCATCGAGTCCGGCGCAGTCCTCGTCACGGACCACCTCGCCCACTTCACCCTGCACCTCTCGGCCCGCGTCCTCGTCGCGTCCTCGTCCCTCTCCGTGCCCTCCTACGCCGCTCTGTACCGCTCCAACGCAGGGAGCCCGCTCGGCGCCCACTTTGTCGTCCACCAGCACGACCACCCCGTCGCCGGCACCCACTATGACTTGCGCCTGCAGATCAACGAGACGAGCAGTGTCAGCTGGGCTGTCATGTACGGCCTGCCCGGTGATCCCAACAGCAAGAGGCTCAACCGCAACGCCACAGAGACGAGGATTCATTCCTTGTGGGTGAGCAGCCTGTTTCTCTTCCTGCCCCTGTTTCCTGCCCCTGTTTCCTATCCCATACAGTGTACACCGTCGTTGACCACATCTCTTTTATCCCCGCAGAATCACCTCATCGAAACGGCCTCGCCAGAAACAGGCTCCCTGCTCATCTGGGACACGGGCACATACTCCATCCTCCCCCGCCGGAGCAAGCACGCACCCCGCCAAGACCCCTCCTCACCACCCACCTCGCCACCCTCGTCGGCCGCCCCCTCCCCGTCTACACAGCAGGCTCTCCTCGAAAAGGCCTTTCACAGCCGCAAGATTCGGCTCCGGCTGCACGGCTCCAAACTCCCTGACCCCTACGTGCTCAATCTGCGGCTCACCAAGGCCGAGGACGCGTCCGGCCGCTCGAGAAGTCTGCGTTGCCCGAGAACGCGGAGACGAAGGCCTCGCGCCGAGCATGCGCAGCCCGAGACTAGCAGCTCCGACGACGATGACCATGCTGACGATGAGGATGAGGAAGACGACAAGCATATTGTTGTCCCGCCGGGCCAAGAAGCTGACCCTACTGGCAATGTCTCCGCCCTGGACCGCGAGCTGAGGGAGCTCGAGGATGACCAGGTCCGCCGCACTAACGCCTACCCCGGAGCCGTCAACACCATCGGCAGCATCCATCAACGCAGGTGGTACCTCTCTCTCGACCGGCCCGCATGCGGCTTTAAAGCGACTAGACACCGTGGCCGGCTCACTTGGGAACTGCCAGACAAACAAAGCATCCCCGACAGCTCCAGCCACGACCCCGCGGCCGACAACGGAGACACATGCCAAGATACCTCTCGCCTCTCTTTCCCATTCTACGTCCGCGGACCGGACCACGAAATCAGCGTCGTGACTGGCCGGCGCGGTGAGGACGTCCTTCGAGACGAACAAGTCACCTCTTTCGTTCGCCGCCAGGGCTGGGCTCCCGTACTAAACTAAGCCTCTGTACTTCTCATATCGACTTCATGTGCGGTAAGCGTAGCAACAAATCATCGATTGTGAGGGAATGATAGACCTCCCGACTGCTCTGCCAGCCATGTGCCTGATAAACAGTCCTTCTGGCAGCCTTTGTAGAAACGTCTGCGACACATGCGAAGCCACTCCGTCCTCGACGTTTGATACGCCGTGCCAAGTCCAGTGATCCACTTGCTTTCTGTACATAACTCGCAAACGCCATCCCATGCGCGTCGTAATGTGCTCTCCGCTATCATTGTATAGCAAGCCGCTCATTGCGTTTTGTTCCCAATATACTCCGCCGAACGCGTCCTTCGTCATAGAGATGCCCTTCTTTCATATCCCGAGTCGTCCAAGTTATACCTGCTTTCTCTCAACGGGAGTTGGCGCCACCCGTCTCTTCTTCGGCTCCCTCCCCTCTTCCTTCTCACTTTCACTCGCATCCCTCTTCGTCCCCGCGACGCTGCCGCCCGAGCTCCGAGGCGTTTCTGGCGGAGTCGTCATGGGAACCCCGCCGGCTTTGCCCCCGCCAGCGGCTGTCAGCGTCGGCATGTTGCCAACGATGAGAGACGGATTGCTCACAACCCCAGTCGACGGATGCAGCGAGGACTGCGTGGCCACGGATGATGCCGAGTTCGAACGAGTCGGAGACGACGGGCGCTGCGGGGCGGGTGGCGCCGAAGCAGGCGGCGATGGGGCCGTGAACGAACTGTTCGAGTTGCGGTGCTGGTGATATGCACCGTTGGGGAAGGGGGACAGAGGCGCGAAGCTCGTGGTTGGGGTGGGAGTGTTCTGATTCGGCGTTGCAGTCGACGAAGTTGCTCCTGCATGGGCTTTCGGTGGCCCTGTTTCTCCCTTGTAAATCTCCCCAAGCTCGCCGGGGGCAAACGAGAGAGTGGAGCAAAATCCGTCCGAGGACGAAATCACCAACGTGAGCCCATCGCTTGACCTGCCATGGCGTTAGCCTCCGACTATGAGACAATAAGAAAGGGAGGCGATAGAGTGGTCAACGTACCACGCAAGGTCGGTAAATGTGGCGCAGTGCAAGTTGCTAACAATGCAAAGCGGCGTCTTTTGCTGCGTGTCGTAAAGAAGTACGGCGTCTTGCGTGGCCACGGCATACACCATCCGATAGGGCAATGAAAAGGCCGACTTGAGCCCCGGAGTAGACGCATCCGAGTCGGCATTGACGGGCTTCGCTGAGCCTGCTGCATGGTCCAGCACGGTGCTGGGCGGAGGAGGAGGATCCATTACCGAGGTAGCCAGGGATGATTTGGAGACGGGGTCCGGAAGAGACGGGAGAGGCTCTTCCGCCGACGAGGTGTCGATGGTGATGTGCCTGGTAGAGGGCGTGGAGTGACGGAGAGTATAGTAGACGGGCGAGCACTTGACCACGACCGATGGCTTCTTGTGCCCCGGCAAGTGCGCGATGGGCGGCTTGTTGATGCCGCCCCGGGTGTAAATGTACACGGTATTGATGACTTCGTATGTCGCCTTGGCCCCCTCCTTGTCCGCTTGGTGCTGGGTTTGGTACTGGCCCGACGGGGTCAAGAGCAGGCTACCATCCGGCGTAAACGTGAGGCGACGGAAGAAGGAAGTGAGTGTCTCGTTGGCATAGAGACTGGCGTTCTTTACACCCATGCCGAGGCTCGCCGAGATGGAGGGAGGCTTCGGCGATGCCTCCATCGGCATGACTGCCGGGAGCGGCATGGACGGCGCGGGCGAGGCGGAGCGACGGGACGAGAACGAGGATCGTCGGCTGTGGCTGACAACACTGGGCGGGTTCATCGGGACGGCGAACGAAGTCGGGGTCCCGGGCGCCGAGGCAGACGGGGACCCTATGGAGGTGCTCGAGTCGACAACGGACAGCTGGGTCCGATGGCCAAAGTCGGGAGGGGCAGGGCTGCTCGAGGAGATGCGTCGAGGAGGGAGGTCTGCTTTGATATGGCTGGCCAGCCTGGGTGGCTTGTCATCCTGGTTGAACGTGTACTGGCCGTCTTTGGTCTTGAGGGAGTAGATGTGGACCGATCGATCGGAGGACTGAGTAGCAATGTACTCGTTTGAAGGATCCCAGGTCACGCCTTGGACGTAGTGGCTGTGCTCGGCGATTTGACGAACGAGGGTGCCTAGTGCGACTGCGTTAGTTCATGGCTGGGAGAGTCGTTGGAGCTAGAGCTCGGGCGATGGGGCCTGTAGTTGCTGACCGGTTTGGGCGTTGTAGATTCGAGCAATGTTGTCCATGCTGCCGATAATGAAGTGAACGGCGTCGGGGGACCAGGCCAGGTCATATATCTCGGCACCGCTGGAGCGGCACATGTGCTTAGCTCTCCACGATTCCTTGTCGTCTTGTCCATCGGATCCAAAGTTGGACGAAGGCAGGTCGCTGGGCACCCAGAGAATGACATTGCCATCGTCACCAGCGGAGGCAAGAGTTTCACCTAGGCTCGCATCAGCGCACGATGCCATACAGAGCGTGGGGTGACGGAGATGGACGGGGGCTGAGACGTACCCTTGGGGGCCCAGCGGACAACGTTGACGGCCTGGTTGTGCTTGGAGAGGGTAGAGAGATACTCGACCTTGCGTTCCAAGCCGACGGATTCGACCTTCCAGATGCGAACGTGGTTATCACCACCAGCCGTGGCTAGGCGGCCCTTTGCCGAGGGTTCGAAGTGGGCAGAGTAGACGGGGGCGTTCTGGTCATGCCAATTGATGATGAGGGGCGTGGCCTTCATCGTGACGAAGGCTCGGGACTAGGGAGGTCGTTTTTCGAGCTGCATGTGGAGTTGAGGGTGGGATGGCTGCGGCGGCGGCGGTCGTCTGAAGGGAGCGGAAACGGCTGCTCTGAGGGCCCGTCACGGCCGGGTGAGGCGACGACGATGGTGTCGAGCTGTGCGGCAGTCGGCGGAAGCGATTGCAGTGGCGGGTGTAAGGAAAATGCTGGAAGAGTGTTGAACGAGGAAAGACGGAGGATGGGGTTGGGGTGAGGAGGCAGAGGGGGGGGGAGGTGGTTGCGGTTTGCGGTTGTAGTTGTGAATGCTTTGGGGGGCTCTAATTTGGGTGATAGGCAAGGCGCTGGCGCTGCTGCTGCAAGGGTGCGAATCCTGCTACACACGGCGGTGGTCTCTGAGCTGCACCCTGATTGGCCAGCTGGACTGGCGCGCGGGCGACGGCGGGAGAGAAACGCCACCAACAGGCGGACGAGAGCGCCTTAGTAACTTGATGAATGGTTAGATTGGTGGTGAGGCAAACGAGGTGGAGAGCTAGTGTGGACCATGTGGATGGATGGATGCATCACAGGTGAGGTATAATACTGCAGGCCGAACCTTGGTAGGACCGTCGTCTTTTGCCTACATGAGCGCTCATACATACAACATGTACGGATGTATGTGAGTTGCGACATGCACAATACAGCCATGTTGCAGCATGCATGTCAGGAATGCATACAAGACACGGCTGCGGCAGAGAGATTCACGATGGAGAGCGGGCACCCACTCGGGATGGACCTTAGCAGGAGGCGGCGCAGTCATGGGGCCCTACGCACGAGCAGCTCCACGAGACAACGGGCGCGCGGCTGGCCAACAAGGCTCGTACACGCATTGGAGGCGGCAGAGCCATGGGATTGAAGAATGATCATGGCGCTGATGACACGGTCTAGTGTTTATCTCGTGCACTCGTGCACTCTTCCCTTCTTGGTATTCGTCCTGCTGACAGCCGCCGGGCAAGACAAGTGCGTCTCCCAGTCAATCGCATACCTGATCCTTGTGGCTCCTCGAGCCTCGATGAATGTGTCATGATTTGGGTTGGCAGAGTCTCGCCATCGTATCCGTACGAGCCGCCCGAGCCCCGAGGGGTCCCAGAACGATGGGCCTCTTGATCCATTAACCAATACGGTAGGTAATGCGGGAATTGTACTGTACCTGGCCCGGGAGTGCACTCAGCCTAGAGTAAATTTGTACCGTATTGTCTGGCCAAGTCGGCAGAAGAAAGAATTGCTGTTTCAACGCATCGGGGGGCAATGCCGTGGATCTACCTGCTCTACTCCCTAGTATTCTCCACAAAGTCGGACGGGGCTGGGGGCCTAGGGTACCGAGGACCTACCTACCTATCTATTCAGCTCCCTTGGCCCTGTTGGCTTCCTCGAATTCGAAATAGCCGCCGCCGCCCGTTTCTTTGCCGCCGTCGGCCTGCTTTGCTCATCAACGGCTAGTTGGCTCCGCACCCAGACTCAAGATGGGACGGGACTGTCATCACAGTTCCTGATGATGAGAAACGTCTTGTTCCGTGCGTGCCATGCTCGGGACCTGAGCCGCGAAACAGTCTCATCGGGGAGCGGCAAATGAAGAGGCAGAGGTGGTGGAAATACGGTGTACAATATAATTACTGTACGGTAGTCTGTACCAGCCTACTACGGTAGGTAGGCACCTACGGTTATGCGACACCCTGAGCCGCACGTGATTCCTCAGCCGATGTTTTGCAGCCTGGCCCAATTTCCCTCAATTCCATTGCACCAGATGTCTGGAGGACAGGGGCCCCGTGCAGGCCAGCTGGATGCTGCAAGGATGGATGCCAGACTGGATTCCGTTCCCCAGCCACGGTCAGCGATAAAGTCGGAAACAGGCACATTAGGCGAGCTGCAAAATCCATTGTGGCAGGCTGCAGCATGGGGTTTTGGACTGCGAAGCGGATTACCGTGACAGAGGCAGCAGTATACTGTCTGTACCACGCTACGACATACTTCGTGCTTGGTGAAGTTTCTTGGTAGATGAGAGTACCAGCCATGGCGTGGCGTTCTCAATGGGCTATCCCTGAAAGTAGCCGGCTTGGACAAGCCTGACTGGCAGACTTCATGTCCAGGCCACGGGGCGCCCGCTCCTTGACAAAGATTTGCCTTGAATGTCCCGACACGGCCGCCTGGTGTGTGACTCTTAAGACCCCGCCATGAGCCGCCAATGCGACCCGAGTCACCCATGGCTTGCCGTTGGTTGAGTGGACAAAGGCAAGAAGGGTCTGTCTCTTGCACAGTTGGCCCATTCCCCTCCCTCCCATCCTCCTTCGGAATCTATGAGCCGGCCGCTGACTCCTCTCAGCCCTCCCGTACGATGGGCCAACGGCTGGACCAAAGCGGATTTTCTGGACCAAGCACAGACGGAGCCAATCCCCGTGCATGTCAGTCACTACGGTGCTGACAGTGCCATGAATGGCTGCTTTGCTCCGGGATGACTCACGGATCCTCCCATTCCCCGTTAGACGCATCTCAAAAAGGTTCGTTTCTTCGGCGGGACTGAAGCAAGCATTGGCCAGTCTCAAGATCTCGACGCGCCAAGAACAGAGTTTACGCAGAGTAGCCCGTCTGAGAACCGTCTTGCTGAATTCCAGCCAACAGGATCGCCTGCAGTTTCATCCCAGTCTCAGCCTCTCTCTCTGTGCGCGTACGTACGGATACAGTACATGCGAAATATAAGATGCCATTTGTCCATTGCCCCAAAAACGTCGCTCCAGGTAATTAACGGCATGAGAAAGCGGGCGACAAGGTGGAGGGAACGAGGGGTCTTCGCCCTCACCCAATCTGATGGATCGTCTCATGTACTGTACCTCAGCAAGACTGACGGAGCTTCCTTGACCACGCCTTGCCGGCGGCAAATCTCGAGGGAGCCGAGATGCCCTGCGCTTCTCCCTTTTGGGCTCATTCGTTTCTTCATCTCGACGACGCTGACTCGTCTGTGCGAATGCCCATCCACCCATATTCATACAACACCAAGAGCACCTTGGCTGATGGGTGGCTCGCTGGCATCAAGCAAAGCGTGAACTGATGAGTAGAGCTGCTGCTGCCTAGCAGTCGGCGCTGGACCCGCCTGCCTACCTTGGCTAGTGAGGCGGGTGGCAGGCCTTGCAGGGCCGGCGGTCGGAAACGAGGTGGAGGAGGACGGCCCATGATGAATGTCTCAATTGTGCAGATGGCCCGTAGCACAAGCCATCGCTCCGCACGGCAAACGAAGCTTGAACCCAGTCCTTGGTTAACATTTGTTTACGCAGGGAGGCTCCGAGTGGCCCTTGGGCTCCGGCGTCAGGGGCCCGTAGGGACCTACAAAGGTGACTGATTATTATTAGCACACGTTCTTCTCGCGAGTTGCGGCCGTCCGGCACTAGCCGTGATTGGCACACTGGAGCCTCCAAAAGACGCCAAAATGTTCAAGGCTAGGCCTACCAAGAACTGCATGTACATGTGTAGTACAGTACGCGCCTTGGCGTCCTTCTTCCACTCACTCACCGGATGACTCCATCGGCCTCCGCCTGTTAGGTAGGCAGGCAAACAGTCCTTGCAGGGAACTACATGTACGCACATACATAAGAAATGGGCATGGTGCGTCCGGCAGACTTGGCTTCGCTCACTTTTCTCCCCTTCTCCGCCCCTTCTATACCTGTGTCTGCGTAGTGGTAGGTAAGTAGAAGTATTGTGTGTACTGTGTAGGAGAAAGCGCCGTCTGGCTGGCCGGTTCCTGTCTCTCCCACGCCGAGTGGCCTTGGATTTGGTTCATTTGAGCGGCCAAAAGCAACCGCCAGGGATAAGCGGCGGAGAGAGAACTGCAAAACTGTCCATGATTTGCCTCTCCCAACTGGAACAGCGAGTCGGGAAACCATGATGGACAACAGCACGCTCCTGCCGCTGTCCGCCGCTGCGCTGGGCATTACCTGCCTCGCCACAGTCCCGGGCGCCCTTGCCATCCTGACTCAAATCCGCAACCGCACTCCCAAAGACAACTTCTACCAGGACGAAGACGGCACGAGCACGCCCGAGGCGCTCGCTGCCTTCTCCAACAAGGCGCCCAAGACCGCCATTGTTGTCTTGTCCATACTCGGCTTCGCCTCCCTCACCGCTGTCTCCATATTGACCACCGTTGACTCGAGCCATCACGGGCTGTTCCTCGAAACCTGGCTGGCCACTGCCTCGTGGGTAAGTCGGAACAATCTGCTTTGCGGCAATCCCCTCCCTGTTTCCGATGCCTGACCGCCGGCGTCTTTGGACCTCGTTGACGACGGCTTGTAGGCCGCTGTGCTGCTGCAAGCCATCTTCCTCGCGGCCCATCATTCCCCCGTCCAGGTCCACGACCTCGGTCTCTGGGCCCTTCTCTCATGCCTCATCACCCTTCCAGCTACGGTTCTCCAGGCACTCCGTGTTGGTCACGAGCGCATCTCTCTGACTCTCCGCATCGTCAATATTTGCGCAACTACCCTTCTCCTCATCGCTTGCATCTCGATCCCCCGCCGTCCCCATGTCTTTCACAAAGGCCGGCAGGTCGATGCTGAGTGGACCGTCTCGGCCATCAACAGGTACACGTGGAGTTGGGCTGGCGCGCTCCTCAAAGTTGCCTGTAAGAAAGGGGACCTTGATGAGAAAGATATACCCCGACCCGACCACTTTATTCGGGCCGAAAACCTCGTCTCGGCGTGGACAAAGGCGAGCCATCATGGCAGTCTCCTGCGGTCAGTCCTCCGAGCTTACGGCCGCCGTCTCGCCCTCCAGTGGGCCATAATCGTGGGACGATGTATTCTGGGCATTGGTCCCTTCTGGGCCATGTTGCGGCTGGTCCAGTTGCTCGAGAAAAGGGGTTCGGTTGAATTGCCAGCTATGGAGCCCTGGATCCTTGTGATCTTCATGGGAGCTTGCATCTTGGCTGATCAGGCAAGTACTCGCTTACACTCATTCGTTTAGGCACTTCGGTATCGTCATCACTACATAGAAAGCCCTTCTGACCTGAGCTGCAGTGGATGGATGGCTGGGTCATCTGGTACGCCATCACCAGGTTGTGCATACCCGCTCGAGGCCAGCTCTCGGCCCTTATCTTCGAAAAGTCCCTGCGGCGCAAAAACGTACGGGCTGCCGAAAAGAGGCAGGACGACAACAAGCCAGTTAAAGATGGCAATGAAGACAATGGGAAGCCCGAGGATGCCACCTCGACTAGTCCTGAGGATTCCAACGTCACCAAGTCTCGTCAGGCAGTCGTCAACCTCGTGGGCGTCGATTCCAAACACGTTGCCGATTTCCTCGTGATTCAATACTACATCATCAACAGCGCCGTTAAGCTTGTCATTTATTCCGCCTTCCTTGTCCAGCTGATAGGCTGGGTGCCGTTTGGGGCTGGCATCCTCGCCTGGGCGCTCGTCCTCCCTGTCAACGCGTGGCTTTCCAAAATCTACATGAGGGCAGAGGACACCCTCATGAAGACTCGCGACAGGAAATTGGCCGTCGTCAACGAAGCTTTACTGGGGATGCGCCAGATCAAGTTTTCTGCGCTCGAGAAACAGTGGGAGGACAAGATCACCAAGATGCGTGAGACAGAAATCGGGGACATTAGGCGAGTCTTTGCTGCGGACTCGGTCCTATTCTTCTGCTGGATAGCGAGCCCCATTCTCCTGGCTGCGGCATCGCTAGCCGTCTACGCCTCCGTCCACGGCGCTCTGTCTCCCTCTGTCGCTTTTGTCAGTGTCGGTATTTTCAAGAGCTTAGAGGTCTCACTGTCGGCTATCCCGGAGTGCCTTGCGAGCGGACTGGATACCCTCATCTCGATCCGTAGAATCGAGACCTATCTGAACGGCCCAGAGATAGAAAAAACGCTATCGGAGGGCACTGGCGTTGCCTTTGTGGATGCTACAGTTGCCTGGCCTGTTGACGAGGAGGTACCGGACGAAGATCGGTTCATTCTGAGCAACGTGAACCTGTCATTCCCTGCTGGAGAGTTGTCCGTCATCTCTGGTAAGACGGGCACCGGCAAAAGCCTGCTCCTGAGTGCGCTTCTCGGTGAAGCCGACCTGTTGCAGGGAACAATCCTCATGCCCTCGACTACACCACCTCTGGAACGGAACGACGATATGGCTCATCCTGGCAACTGGATTCTCCTTGGCTCTGTGGCCTACGTTGGGCAGAACCCCTGGCTCGAAAGCGCCTCGTTTCGCGACAACATCCTGTTTGGGCTGCCCTTCTTGGAGGATAGGTACAACAAGGTCCTTCGAGTTTGTGCTCTCAAGAGAGACCTGGCAATCTTGACAGATGGCGACCAGACCGAGCTAGGCGCCAACGGAGTCAACCTCAGTGGTGGTCAGAAATGGCGTGTAACCCTGGCCCGCGCCATTTATTCTCGGGCAGAGATACTCATCATGGACGACATCTTCAGCGCCGTCGATGCTCATGTTGGCCGTCAAATCTTCGAAATGTGTGTGACAGGCGACGTGTGCAAAGGCAGGACCAGAATCCTCGTCACTCATCACGTCGCCCTGGTCCAGTCCGAGGCCAAATATCTCGTCGAGTTGGGAGAGGGCACGGTGTCGCATCACGGTCTCACGTCGGACCTTGCCGATGACGGCACTCTGCAGACCATCAAGCTCCACGAGCAACCCCGGAAGGAGATTGATGTAGAAGAGACCACGGACAATTGGGAGGCTGGACGATCCGAAGAGACGTCGGTATTGGAACTTGCTGATGGCGGAAATGACGTTAATGCTCAGCCTACGGTTTCGTCCAAGGGGGCCAAGCAGTTCGTGGCAGAAGAAACCCACGAGAAAGGCATGGTGAAAAGACACGTCTACGCAACATACATGAAGAGCAGCGGCGGCTTTTTTTTCTGGATCGTGTGTGCGGTTCTCTATGTCACCTTCGAGGCCGGTAACTTGGGTAGGACGAAGATAACCGTACCTCCAGTAGGAATTCTCGCTGACCCTCTTCAGGACGTAACTGGTGGCTGCGAAAATGGACCGACGAACCTCGCGAGCAACATGCCTCAACCAGCCCGGCCCATGAGCACGGCATGGCTTACGGTCTATCTTTGCAGCACAGCACGCAGCACGCCGCTTCGCATGCGCACCCAGCCGAAGCCGCCCACAAGCCTCTGTCCTTTTATCTATCCGTCTATGTCGCCTTGGCGGCCGGAAGCGCCATCATCGGAACATTTCGCTTCTTGTGGTCGTTTGTCATGAGCCTCCAGGCCAGCAGAGCGCTGTTCAAGAGAATACTATTCACCGTAATGCGGACCAAACTCCGATGGATTGACACGGTTCCGGTCGGGCGTATCCTCAACCGACTGACGGCCGACTTTGAAGTTATCGACAACCGCATCACCATAGACTTGGGTTTTCTCTTCTGGCGACTGCTGGGCCTTCTCGGTGTTTGCGTCGCTGCACTGCTCGTTTCCATATATATCCTTCCCTTGGCTGTCATCCTTATATTGATATCCGGCGTTGTCGGAAAAAGATTCTTGGATGGGGCGAGACCGGTCAAACGCCTTGAAAGCACTGCCAAGTCGCCTGTTTTCGAACTGTTCAACGCGGCGCTCGCCGGCGTGCCGCTGCTCCGAGCGTATCAGAAGACACATGTTTATGTCGAACGCATGTATGGCCTCCTCGATGTCTGGGATTCCCTCAGCGTATATGTCTGGACGCTGAATCGGTGGCTTGGCTTCCGCATGGCGCTCCTTGGCACCCTCTTCACTACACTTGTCGGTGCCATCGTGGTCGGCTCCTCCTTTGTGGATGCGGCCATGGCAGGCTTTACCCTGTCATTCGCCCTCGACTTTTCTGGAAACATGCTCATGGCGATTCGAGGGTATGCGTCTTTGGAGCTGGACATGAATGCAGCTGAGCGCGTGATTGAATATACCGCGTTGGACACGGAAGATCTCGCCGGTGAAGAGCCTCCTGCTGCCTGGCCAACTTCAGGGCAGATAGAAGTCAAAGACCTGGTGGCTGGTTACGCGGATGATCTGCCACCAATACTCAAGGGCATCTCGTTCAAGATCCTCAATAACGAGAGGATCGGGGTCATTGGGCGAACCGGAGCCGGCAAGTCATCTCTAACGCTGGCTCTTTTCCGATTCATTGAGGCCCGATCGGGAACAGTCTTTATTGATGGACTGGACATCTCCAAGATCAATCTTCACAGCTTGCGATCCCGCCTGGCCATCATCCCCCAGGTAGGCTAAAGATGCTCACATCTTCCAGCAGTCTGTCTTGGTTTTGGACTCTGACAGCTCTACTTTAGGATCCCGTTCTCTTCTCTGGTACAATTCGGAGCAATTTGGATCCGTTCAACGACCACACTGACGAGGAGCTGCGTGATTGCCTTGCTCGAGTGCACCTGGTCGATTCTGAGCCTCCCACCCCTGCCAATGAGCCTGCGTCTACGGTAGATTCTGCAGCGGGCTCGACTCTGGTCTCCAAGAACCTCAACATCTTCCGCGATCTCTACAGTGGTATCTCGGAATCGGGCGGAAACTTGTCTCAGGGCCAACGCCAGCTTCTGTGCATTGCCCGGGCAATCGTCTCACGCCCCAAAATCATGGTGCTCGATGAGGCCACGTCTGCCGTTGACATGTCCACGGATACGCTCATCCAACGCAGTATCCGCGAGGAGTTTGTCGACAGCACCCTCATGGTCATTGCACATCGCCTCAGTACCATTGCCGATTTTGATCGCATTCTCGTCCTTAGTGATGGCAGCGTGGCCGAATTTGGTACGCCTCGTGAGCTGTGGGACAAAGAGAGTGGCGTGTTCAGGGCCATGTGCGAGCACAGTGGGGAAAAGGAAAAGCTGAGAGAGGTCATTGTCGGCAACCGAGAATGAGATGGCCATGCGAAAGTGGGCTGTGGATATGAGAGCATAGAACAGTGTTGACATCGATGGCATACAGGAGGGCCTTGGCAGCTGTATACACTGAGACGGTGTTTGAATCAAGACCGTCGTGAAAAATGGCAGCGGCTTTTGATCCAATCGATGAGGTGACGAATGACGACTGAGAAACAGTGCAGTGAGCGCTGGCCGTTGGCAAGGGGACGAAACGGCAGCGTCAGATTAGACAGGGTCAGCCGGGGAAAGGCTTTGCAAGTTTGCCTGCTTCAGATGTCATGAGAGTGTCATGCTTCCGCGCTGTAGATGTAAGCTACGAGTCAAACTGGTGCCAAGATGAACCGAATTTGGGCAGTGAGCAGCTCTGGGTCGACTTGGGAACGTCCCCAGTCGCCTCCGAGACTCCATTTAGCCGGTTGTCTCTGCGTGTGCTGGCTTTCCGCGATGATGCTATTAGGTACAGGCAGATCGAAGCATGCTTCCCTTAATGTTGAATCACACCGGTCGTCGTCTTGGACGCCTTGCCGTCTAAAGCACCCAACGCCCGTTGTATGCCAAAACTCCCATCTCCTGCTTCTCCCAATACGCCTCGCTGTGCCCGTGCTCCTCTCGTCACGGTGAAAAAGTCATGTGTGATGCACTCAGGAGGCGGCGCCTCTGGCATTGGAACTCACGTTGCTGGCGTGGGCCAAGAGAAACTTGCAGCACGTCAGCGTGAGCTTGCAGGCCTTTGTCCAGCCGTCGTCTTGCGCGATGCCCAGCTTGATGCTCACGTCGCCAATCTTGTCGCCGTCGATGCGGTACGGCAAGCTCAGCGTGTTGCCCGTCGGCTCCGTCTGCTTCTGGACAAAGACGCCCAGCTGGCGCACGAGCTCGAGAAAGGCCACCATTGCGTTGTCGAATTTGCGGTGCATAAACGTCAGGCCCAGGGGCATGTCGCCGGAGCTGTAGAGCTCCAGCACGTGTTTCTTTGGCGGGGGCTGCGTCGCGCGGGCCCCGAGGCGGCTGGAGGCCGGGCTGGAGGCGTCGTAGCGGACTATCTTGGACGTGCTGCCCATCGGCTGGGGGTCGTGGCCCTGAAACCGGTAGTTGAGCTTCTCGGCTACCGTGACGAGGAGCAGCAGTGCGTGTCCCCAGGCGGCGTTGATCTCTGGCCAATCGACGGGCTTGTTCGAAAGCCTCCCCAAGCGAAGGCCATTAATGGTGGCAAAGTTTCCGTCGTGACTGATGCAGAATGTGTCGTTGTACACGTTGGACCGCTGCAGCTTTTCGAGCAGCTGCGAGTCGTGGCTGTACTTTGCGTTGACGCTATCCCGCTCAGCCTGGAATTCGGCCATCTTGGTGGCAAACGCGTTCCTCTCGCGCCAAAACGCCTCCTCTTCCTTGTCTAGTTGTTTGGACTCCTCCTCGAGAGCCAGGATCTCTTGGTCCAGGGCATCCTTGTCCTTTTCGAGCTTCTTGAGCTCCTCCATGGCAGCTGCCTTGTCCCTTTCTGCCTTTTTGAGCGCCTCTTGCTGGGCTTTGATGTCGTTTTGGCTGGGCTGTTCGGCTTGCGTTTGGCGCAGATGCTTGACGTAGGCGTCTCTCTCCTTGGAGGCGACGTCGAGCTTCCTCTGAAGCCCTTCGACGAGCAGCTCGGTGCAGTCAACGCAGACGGGGTGGTCGATGTCTGACCTTGCCGAGAGGACCTCGAAGAGCCTATTCATCCTCTCCATCTCGTCGGCCTTGGGCGCTTGCGTCGCGGCGGCGGAAGCCCTGCTTGAGCTGGAGCGCCGAAGGCGGGTGGGCGTGACGGGCGCTTCCTTGAGCTGGGCCTGCTGCTGCTGATGCGGATGGCCGACCTGGGATTCGGTCAGGTAGATAAAGGACATGGCCGAGTCGCGTGGCTGGCCCCCATGGTGTCTCTTGAAGGACGGGGGCCCTGCGTTCTGAGACACCTTGTCGTACAGCGCTCGTCGTGCCTGGTCTTGCGACTGAGCGGCCTGGGACCGAGGCTGGGGCGACCGCTTGGATTTCGGCGGGGACGATGCTGCCGACGACGAGGCTGTGGGAGAGCACGTGGCGTTAGATGTTGACCTTCGTCACGCGAGAGGCGGGAGTGGGAGTGGGAGACGCACAAATCAACAGGTCATACGCCGCCGGGTTTAGATTCTCGAGTGAGCCGTCGAGCCTCAAGGGCTGGCGACACTTTTGGCAGTACATTTCGGCCCTGGGGCGTGTTTGCTGTGGAGGATGGCATGAAAGCCGGTGGCAGAAGCGAGCGTGTCGGCGAGGCAAGGGGATGAGGCAGGTGAGAGGGCGGGAGGGCGGACTGGGCCGAGGGTGGTCAAAGGAGACGATGATGGCGATTCGCGATGACAATTCGATGAATGAATGACCTGGGAGGTACGTTGGTACTTTCCAGCTTTGAGGTTGACGTCGCTGGTCTCTCTGTCTTTACTAGTGGGGCGCGGGGCCGTTATCTGCTGCCCTGCACGCACTGTCCCAAGCCTGATAAAGCTCCCGTCGCGAAAACCACTTTACGCGCCGCCACGCGCAACTCTCATCCGTTGCTCCCTCAACCAACCGCCCGAAGCCGACGCAATCGCACCCCCGACGAGCACTTGCAAGTTCCCTTGCGCACCGAATGCGCCTTGCAGCCGCTTCCATCCCTCGTCTCCCCCAGATATGGAGCCCCCAGCCAAGCGGCGCCGACACGGCAAGTCGCCGCTGGACGCCGACGCCGACGACGATGAGCTTTGCTTCGAACCTGTCGAGCTTTCGGCCAAGCGAGACCCTGGATACAGGCTTTCGCTCCAGCGAGCCTACGCCGACAACCGCTTCCAGGCCACCATGGCCCACATCTTTGAGAAATACAATCGCGACTTTGATGGCATTGGCGACGAAATCGACATGGTCTCGGGTGAGATTGTTGTCGACAATGGCCATTTGCAGAATATGCGCGACGAGGGCGATGTCGGCACTAGTGAGCAAGGGAGCGACGAGGACCAAGGAATCTTGTTGCATCATCTCCTGGACGACGACGATGACGACGAGGGCTACCTGTTCCCGCGCGCAGCCGAACCGTTGGAGACACCGGCTCGCAACGACGAACAAGACGACGAGGATGATGACATTATGTACGGCCGCAAACCCGTCCGGCAATCACAGTCCTTGGTGCCCGTCCCAAGACCTCAACCGTCGGGCCGGAGCCTCCCGTCTCCCAGCCTGCTTAGCGGCCTCTGCGGCGCCGGAACCCTGGATTTCGGGGACCCCTTTGCATTCGGTGCATCTCCCCTGGCCTTTGGTGTCTCGCCTCTCGCCGGCTCGCCGTGGTCTCTTACGAACGGGCTCCCCGGTTCTCTGTGGGAGCCCCCGAGCATATCCCCGAGAGCGCCACGACTGCTCCCCTCGCCGGGAGAGCGCTACAATTTCCCCGCCCAAGACTGCGGCAGCTCCATCTGGGCACCCAACTATCGCTTCAAGGAAGACGATCGAGACCGTCCGCCAGCTCAACTAGAATTCGGGTCGATGCGGCCGCGGCCGAGGACGAGGACCAGGCCCATGAAGAGTATTTACCCTTCCGCAGCTCCAACGGCGGCCGTGGATGAGGAAGTTGACGAAGACGTTATTCTGACGGGCAAGAGTTCTGCGCACCACCAACCACCCGGACAAATCATGGCTACGAGTACACAAGACGACACTGACAGCGTGTTCATCTCCCAAACTACGCCGACAAGAGAACCAGCTGCCGAGGGAGGAAAACAATCCAGGACCTCCGACCAAGAGGCGTCTCAAACTAGCTCCAAAAGGGCCCGGAAACGCCTCTCAGGAATCTCTGGGACAAAGAAGAAGAAGAAAAGGAAGGATCAATCACAGTCTCGCAATGCACCCGTCGAGGCCCCGTCGAGGCCCCAGCGTCCAGACGACGTCTCGGTGGTCCTCACAGAGGCGCGAGACGGACGTGGATCCGAAATGACTGGCAACACTCTGCGGCCGGCGAGAAAGCAAGACGAGCAGCGGCATTTACAAGAGGCATCGCGCAGTGCGGCACGGAAACAGGGGCCGTCGCGGCAGCGCATCGCGGTGGAGATTGCTCCGATGGATCGGCCGCAGCGCGATGAGTACGAGGAAGTCGACGATGCGGTCGACGAGATTGCTGACTCGGCAGACGAGGAGCTTGGGCCCGCGGGCCGCTCGCCCCAAATCGATGGCAGGGGCACGACCGAGCCAGAGCGCCTGGTGGAAGCCGTCTCGGTCTGCGGAAATGAGCCCGTGTCGCAAAATGTCGGCGGTGCCTGTGAAAAGGCACCCGAGCGTGACCGGAAAGAGTTCGGTGAGCCACACAAGGCCGTGAGCTCCGCGTTTTGTCTGTCAGATGACGAGATGCCCATCTGGTCCGAGCCGAAGAAACCGCCCAAGGCAGCCAAGGACCGCAACAAGCCCGCGGTACCCATGACCTCGCCGGGACCACCAGACTCGGGCGTCGGAGACTCAGCCGCGGCCCCGAGCTCGACCCGGGTCGCCGGGTCGCCTAGTGCCCCCGGTGCTACTGCTACATCGCCAAGTTTGCCTCCGGCGTCAGGACGGTCTGAGAAACGTCGCAGGCCGAGAAAGTCGCAAGCCGCCGCCTTCGGCCACGACGCGTCTGCTGCGCCGCCGCCGACGCTTGAGCAGCCGCCATTGTCTGTGGCAAGTCACGGCGCGGCGGCCGACGGCAACGTTTCGGCGACGCTTGTGGAAGACAAATCGCGACGGCTGACGAGGGAGCTTCGGTGGCTTAGGAAGCTCAATGGGCCCGACATGGTCCCCGCGCACGCCCCGAGCTCGCCTACTGCCAAGGACCCTCCTCAATCCAGGCCGCCGAGACGCGCCGCGTCTGGATCCAGGCCCAGGGTTGAGGAGCCCGAGTCTGTCCATCAGCAACAAGACCAAGGCAGGCACGATGGCACGCCGTCTGAAGGCTTGGTGGAAGTCGACGAAGGCCCATGCTCCAACCCTGTCGCAGACACTCCCCGGAGCCCGCCCGCGCTCGCCCCCCTCCAAGAAAACACCCCCATGGCCTCGCCCGCAAAGCCAGCGCCGCAGACGCGCTCGCCACCGCCCGCGCCCCCCTCCAAGCCGCAGACCCCGCGCCACACGTCCATCAAGCCGACCAGAGCCCCCTCCTCGCGCCGCTCCATCCTCTCCCTCATATCCTCGGACCCCATGGACGATGACGACGACGCAGACGAGAGGGACCTGGACGAGCTGGGCCGCAGCCTCGGCGGCGCCCCATCCGTGTCGTTCCTCAGCTCCGGCGCGAGCCGCAAGATCTGGAAGTCGAGTGCGCGCACGACAGAGGTCTACCACACGCCCGTCAAGCGGCGGCCGACTGAAGTCTTGAGCCCGGGGAGCATCATCAAGACCCCCGGCGGCACGCTTCGCACGTGTGGCTTGGCCGGGTATCGGTGTGGGCGCGACTTTTGCTTCACCTGCTTATGAAGGGCAAGACGTACAAAATCGTGACCCAGGCAAGCCAGGTAATAGCCAAAAAAACAAGCCGCGCTTATTCTTCGATTATCTCCTGTATTGAAACGCTATCTCAGTCCATTCCTCCCCCAATGTCCATTCCGAGAGAGCAATGAAAAAAGCGATGCGGCAAAGTCAATGCGGGCGCACACACAGGGAACCATGAACCTCCTTCCACCCGCTCGTCGTTTCATTAACTCGTTCCTGGAACGTCTCCAACTACTGCCTCCCGTAGCTGGCTCATGGTTGCCCAGACCAACCCTAAGCTCGGAGTAGTTGCTTGGATCAGATCGGCAGAACAGAGGGAAGCCAAGCCCGGGTTGGCCACACGCGTCATGCCAAGGCTCCAACGCAAAGATAGACGGCTATCAATCGGGAAAGGTTCCCAACACCCGTATCCGACCCGAGCGGCCACGACGGGAGCATCTTTTCCGTGAAATTGCGATTGATTCCAATCTTCTAGCCAGCACGAATGTTCTATCCAGGCTGGAAGAAGTGACAGGCCAGCGAGATGATGCAGCTGGTTCAGGGTATCATGGAAAAGGGCCAAGGATGGTGTCGTAAGCCGGAGACGAACGATCGTCACAACCACGTGGCCTTGGTGTTCATGAAGACTTGTAGGCCGTTCCGTTCGGGCTCGCCAAGTTTTGCTTGAAAACTTCCGGGTCCCGGACGGGATCGAAGTAAGGATGAGCTTGCGCCTCTTTTGCGGTGAGTCGTTCCTACACGAGCGTCAGAGAGGCGGTCGGCTGGAGTTAAGTGTCGCAAGCTACAAACCTGATGATCATAACGCAGAAGCTTGTCGAGAAAGTCAATGGCTTCATTAGAGACAAATCGCTGGTTCTCAGACGTGACGAAGCTATGCCAGGGCTTCTTCTGGAAGCGCCCAAGGATATCATCGTACTGTGCGTCCAACTCAATCTCGTACTTGTCCAGGTAGTCGAAGAGGTCGTCTGTGCCGAGGACCTTTGCAATCTTGACCAGCTGATCCGAGTTGCTGTTGCCGTGGAAGAAAGGCTCCTTGCGAAAGATCATGGACGCGAACATGGCGCCCAAGCTCCACATGTCGAGGCTGTAGTCATACTCCTGGAAGTCTACCAGGAGTTCAGGACCCTTGAAGTACCGCGATGCCACGCGAACGTTGTACTCGGTGCCCGGGTGGTAGAACTCGGCCAGGCCCCAGTCAATAAGGCGCAACTAGTTTGAAGGCATCGACATCAGCAAGCGTGCGCCACAAAGGGGGATGAGCAAGACTTCCTGTCCCCGGATGGCGGTTTAGGAGAGAACAAACCTTTCGGTTCTCATGATCGATCATAACGTTATGAGGTTTTACGTCGCGATGCATAATGCCTTTGCTGTGGCAGAAGTCGAGAGCCTTGAGCAGCTCAAGGATGTAAAATCGAACATCGAGATCGTTGAACTTGGGATACAAGCTTCGGAAATCGGTGTTGTTGACGTACTCGAAGATGAGCGACGGCGTCTTGCTCTGCAGGTGAATGAAGGGATCAGCAAAGAGGACAATATGCTGGCTGGCGGCACGGGGGAGGCCGACCTGTGAATCCCTCACAACATCGAGCAAGGCGACGACGTTAGGGCCACCGGCCAAGTTCTGTAGAATCTTGATCTCTCGCTTGATCTTCTTCTTCTTAACAGGCTTGAGGACCTTGATGACGCATTTCTGATAGTTGACGACGTTGATACCCTCGAAGACCTCCGAGTACTTGCCGCGGCCTGGTGCCGTGGGTCAGTGGCGCGCGCAGCCTGGCGGACAGTGCTGCACATACCAATCTTGCGTACCACCTCGTAGTTCTCAAGGACGCCCCAGCCTACGATGCGAGTCAGCGGCGGCGAAGAGGGCAGCAGCAAGGATGCAGCGACCCACTGATGTTGACGCTGTCGTAGTCCCAATAGCTGCGGGGCATGCTCTGGTTCACGTCAGCATATACGCGCGCCATGCTGGGCTGGAGGCGGAAAGACGGCTTCGCAGACGACGATGGAGGCAACCGCGTGCGGCGGACGTGTGGTTTGGGCCCTGGGTCGGGGGCTGGCGATACAGGTTAGTGGTGGTGAGGGATGGATGCCAAAACCGAAGCCCAAGGTGGGATGTCTCTTCGCTGGCTGATCTTTGGGTGCCACGAGAGGGATGGATAAGTCCCACTTTTCCCACCAGCACCGGACGTGTGGTTGGCCGCAGCGCTTATCGCCCGCAGCCCTGTGCGCCGCGTGCGGGCATAAGTACCCGAGACCCTAGAGGGAGCGCCGTAACCCAGGTGCCAACACAAATCGTGCGCATGCCAAAAAGTAGACTTTTAGTAGACGGTACCTGTTCTGTATTGTACTCAAGAACGCTAGACGTTTTGCGCCGCCTTGTTGCTTGCATTAGCAGCCGAGGCGTCTTGTGGCAATGTTTTTGTGCTCATCATCTGTCTGGTACTATATACAACACAAAAGCGCAGTCTCGCCATTCCCCAGCACGAGCAGGACCGCCACGAGAGCGATGAAAAGTTGCCAGGCATCAACGCCCAATCCTGCCAATATCCGGCGAAGCACGCCATCACAGGCTCAGGCTCTCCAGCTTCCCCCAGGCTAAGCCCCATCTCTCTGCACTCATGTCTTTTCGTTCATTCTGTGCTGCTTTCCTCACGTGAGCCCATGTTCAGCAGTCCTCGACTTCAAGCGCAGATGGGAAAGCCAATGAGAAACGCGTGCCTCAGAGAGAAGATTATTTTACTCGCCATTTCGCCGTCGCGAGTCGTCCCCATCAGGTGAACCGATGGATCATACGTCTCCGACTTTGATCCGACTAAGGATGACGATACAAAGGTTTTCATCATGACAGCGTAAAGAAAAGCAGGCTCAAGCCCATGGTCAACTCACTTTTTCCAAGGCCAAGACTTTTCTTGCCGCGTTGTGGGCATACTCGCTGAAACAAGGACCGTTGTCGTCAACGTCGAGGCGTCGCCCGCGTGGAGGACGATTCAATGAGTTCGAACCGTGGTTCCAGTGCTCCCAAACATTTGGGTCTCAGTCGTATTCGAGCGTGTCCAGGCCCGGCTCCACCACATCCCAGGTTCGCTTTCTTAAATCCGGCTTTGGTTCGTGCCGAGACTTCATGGTGCCCCTTTTCTTCTTCCTCTTGGACACTCGAGTCGATGATGGCAGGCTTGATCCTTGGCGGAGAGGTTGGCTACTGTTTGCTTCATCGCTCAGCTCCTCGTGAGCATTCGTTGACCGAGAGTTCCGTCTCAGCGCTCGCTCCCGCTTTCGATGTAGCTCTCTGAGTTCTGACTGGCGGAACATCTCGATCTGCTCATCCGTCAAGGTGCGTTTGACGCCATCGTCGTAGTAGCCGAGATCATCTTCTGCCCGCTCATGAGCCTCAGCTTGTTCATGACTGTGCTGGAATTCTGCTGGGCTCTGAAAAGTTTGTTCAAAAGTGGCGATAGCCTCGGGAGAAAAGTGATTTTGGAAAAAGGCGGCCAATTCAGCCTGTTGTTTGTCAGATATATTGACTGTTCCACGTGGAGCGATTCAAAGAGCAGCGCACTGGAGAGACAGGAGGGCCCCCAGACGGCAGTTCCCAGATTGCCTCGGGTGCAGCTTCTGGTGCAGCTTCCATGTTTTGAGGGATACGGTATTGAGGGTGAGATGAGATGATGCTTGGTTCTGGCCGCGTGAAAATCAAGGTGGGTAAAATGGAGGGGGTACGTGACAGATGGCGCGAAGTCACGTGCCTGGCTTGAGCTATCGCCATCTCATCACTTTGCCTGAAGCAGCGCCAGGGCACTCTCAAAAGCGCGCACCACTTCCTCGTCTGAGTGTTGCGTCGAGGTCAGCATGGTGCATTCATGCTGTAGAGGAGCGCGGGTACGCACAGTGTTGTTGCTTCTGCGCAGCTTTCTCTTCCGACAGATTGACGAAGCGTTGTCTTGTCCGCAAGCGCTTCACGGCCCGCTCATCGTCGTGGGCCGACGCGGCCGACGCCCACGCTTGGAAATACTGTAGTAAAGATGTTGAGCGACTGGATCTCGCAACGAAACGGACACGATGGACAGAGATTACCTTGGAGAGATGCTCGGCTTCTTTGAGAGTCTCTCTCTCGTGGGCGTCTGCCTCTCGTAGAGCCTTCTCGTAGCGGGCCTCAAAGTCATCCCAGTCAAAGGGAGCAAGATGTCCCGGTGTGCTGGAAGTATCCGAATTGGGACTATGCTGGTCGTCCTGGGGCTCGGGGGTCTTGGTCTCCGTGTGCGTATGCTTGTCGGGTCCGTTACCTCCCTCTACCTTATCGCCGCCCTCATGCTGGGACGCCGGCGGTTCGCCGTTTTGAGAGGCGACTGGAGACGGCATGACTGAAGAGTAGGCTCGCTCGTAGGCTGTAGCTGTGAGCGGGGACAAGCAGCTGAACGGATAAGTAGCGTGATTGAGCCGAGATCCAGGTCGAGTCTAAGCTGATTCGCATGCGGGACGGAAGTCGCTTTGCTGGTAGGGCGGAGGCGCACGCGTCAATTGAGCTCGGACCAGTGTAGAGGCCAGGGATCAGAGCATCCCACAGCGCTTCCTGGCACACAGTTTTGACGTTGGTGCAGCGCCGAATCCGAGTTCTGCGAGAGTCCTGGTGGTGAAACAGGGAAAGAGTTCATGGTAGTGGAAGCTTTCGCAAGGTCGGTGGGGCCACCGCCGGAGGATTACTTTAGCGCTGGTGCCCCGACGCCACCACTGTAATCGCCGACTTCCAGGCCACCTCCAGGCCACCTCCAGGTCACCTCCAGGCTGCCAAACAAGCTGCATCCCGTGACCGACAACGGCATCCATCCATCGAACCATCATCTGCCTGGTCCAGTCTCAAGCGGACCATCTCTCCAGGGGCACATGGACGTCGCCTCGACTCACTCCCGCCGTCTTTACCAGATGCCCCTTTCCTGCGGCCCCCCGTCACGCTCCTCAACCACTTGTGGCACTCACGACGGCTCCCGCTGGCAACATCCAAATTCACTCACCTCTCCAGTATGGAGTGCGACATCTGCTTTCGGGGCTACGATGCCAAACGTCTGCCCTTTCTCTGTGCCGTGGACGCCCGCAACCAAATCTACCAAGGACGTATCAACACGCTGCAGCTTCTCTTTGAGAATGAGAAGCTGCAAAACGACGTGGACCATGTCCTGACCGACTCGACCAAGCCCACCAAGGACGCCTTGGACTTGGTTCTCGCACAGCAGCGTCTGGCAGAAGACCGGACAGACCAGATCCTCGCAGCGGCGGATAAACTCCGAGAGGAAATCCAGGCTGCCCGGGACGAGGTCAAGGCGAGAAAGTCGGCCCTCGCACGCCGCAAGTCGGACCTGGCCTCGGTTTCAGATGGGCTGCTGGAGCGCAGGGCGAGGCAGCAGCACGAGGTGGACAAGTCAACTCAGATGCTCCGCTTCCGATGGTCGCAAAGCGCCCAGGACTTGGCCCGCACTCGCGCTTTCCTGTGCAATGAAGCCGTCAGGCTGTACGGGCTGAAGCGTACCAAGAAGGGATCCACGGGGCGCTACGACTATCACATCGGCAGGGTCCCGGTGGTGGACTTGACAAGCATGGACAGTGCGTGGCTTTGCCTCTCCCATCTCAGATGCTTTGCGTGCCGTCTCTAACCTCAGCCCCTACAGTCCTCTCCCCCGAAGCCATCTCTACATCCCTGGCACATGTGGCGCACATTCTCATGCTCGTCTCTCATTACCTCGCCATCCGCCTCCCAGCAGAAATCACCCTCCCTCATCGCGATTTTCCCCAGCCAACCATCTTCAACCTGGCTGGCTCATATCAGCATGGGCCCGTCGCATTTCCCAATGGCTCCAACATAACGCCGTCCTTGCAAACCCATGATCCCGACTCCCACCACGTCCCCCGGCCCCGTCCTCTCTTTGTCGACAAACCATTGCCTCAGTTATCCAAGGAAGATCCCGCGACGTATTCCTTCTTCCTGGAAGGGGTAACCTTGTTAGCGTACGACATTGCCTGGCTCTGCAGCACCCAGGGCGTTTCTATTGGCGACAAGGGATCGTTCGAGGACATGTGTCACATGGGTCGAAACCTGTACAACCTGCTCCTCGGCGCACAGATGCAGGGCTACACTAATCTCTCTGTCAAGGCCGTCGGCAGGAGAGACTTGACGCAAGACGAAGCTGCCGACAACTGGATCGGTCGATACTCCCACGGCTCCATGTACTACTACCTCGGCGGCGTCGAAGGCACCGAATTTATCCGAAGGTTCAAGCTTCCCAGCCCCATGAAGCTTGCCGACCGGCTCAAGAAGAAGCTTCTCGGCGATGCCCATGCTGCCGACTGGGAGGTCCTCGACGATGACGCCTGGAGGGTGGATGAGGTTCCCAACGACGCGGGCGGAGGAGCAAAGGGCAAGTCTGGCGTTGTCGATGGGTCCAAGGATGGAGACGGCAAGGCAGCGCCACGAGCAGGGTCAAACGGCTGGACAAAAGTCAAACATAGAACGTGACATGAATGAAGAAGGCATTTCAAATGTGACAAGGCCCGAGCCTGTCTCTGATGGGGCCCGTTAGAGTCTGCGTTTTTGTGTACACACTTTGATTTTTGTTTTCTCCTGCTGTCTCTGCCTCGAATTGTCTGTCATACAAGAAAATCTAAGGTCCCGCTGGTGTTCGTCATCCTCTTCTCGTGCCGCCATCCAATTTCTGCCCCCCTCCCAAGGCTCCGCCATTTCACAAAGAAACCCCGAGGGCCATTTACATGCTCTTCCTTCATTTTCTCTTCGCTCTCGCTCATCACCGGAATGCAACCTGCTCTTCTGGCTCCTCCACCTCCCGCGCCCATCATCCCTCCCTGGTTTCCCAACGACCTCGTGTACATGCCACCTTTCATCCGGATTGGTAACTTGCATTGGGAATAGGACCCCGGTGGGCTGGCAGATGGCTGCGGGGCCGGTTAGCATCTCTTACCCTGCCAGCCCCCGAGGCCCCGTCGACGACGTTGCCTAGACATTTCAAACTGTTAGTGGTCTTGCTCGCATGTTTGCGTCAAAGGGTCGGGGAGAACGTGCCTTGCGTGCAGCCCGAGTTCGGGCAAAAGACGGGCAGGACTCATTCCCATTGGGAATGTGCCTCAAGACCGCCTCTTTCTCACTTCCCCCTTCCCCGTCCACCTTCCCCCCTTTCATCCCTTTCCTCCTCCCACTTTCTCCCCCTTCCTTCCCCTTCCCTTTCCCTTCCCTTTCTTCGTCTTGTGTTTGCTTTGTTTGTCTGTTTTTTTTTTGTTTTTGTCCTTTCGATGCTGCTCGGTGTGGATGAGCATTCGCTGCATCGCGTGCTGGGCCGAGCATTTTATGCTTTGACTCCGGCGGACATGTGAAGAGGCATTCGGTGTGCCTTTGTGGTGCTTTGAGTGCCGGTTATTTCGGCGTGCCAATCTTGTTTTCAAAGAAGGCTGTTTTTGCAAGGTCAAGGAGTTCATTTGCGCTCCAGGCAGAGACCTAGACTTCCCTCCCTCCCTCTCCTCCTTCTCCTCCTGGCGTGTTTTTTTTTAATTTTCTGCGTAGCAAAGTCGGAAGCACGAGGCTCTTGTGGTGTGTCCTCTGCTTCTCGCCTCTCCCAGGGCCGCACCCGATTCTTTTTTCGTGGCAGGGCTTGTTCCCTCTGCAGAGCGTATGTGTTGCTGCAGAGGCCTGGGATTTCGGCAATGAGTCGACCGCTCTGTCCGTACGCTTGGAGAGGCGAGAGCCTCGCACACGAGGGCGGCGGTTTGTGCCGCTTGCTGCGTGGAGGGAGGGAGGCCATGGCTGCTGAGGAGGAGTCTGCTGTTGTTGGTTTCTTTTTTGGTTGACGCAGACGGAGTCTCCAGAGCGCGGATGCGAGGTGACAAGTTGAGCATCTCGAGGCATGACGCAGACGCTGTTTGCATTTCGGCAACTATGCTTGCCCACGCCGTGATGCCTGCGCAAACCATGGCCTCGATGCCGAGAATGTCGACATCGTTTTGTTCGTGGTTGTTTTTTCCCATTCCTTTCCCTTTTCCTTCCCACTTCTTTCCCTTTTCCTTTCTCTCTTCTTTTTGAGAGAGCGAGTGAGTGCCGTGCTCCTTTTTTTCCGGCTTCCGAGTCTGTAGAAGTGTTGCCCGGTAAGCCTCGCACGAGCTTCACTGCTTTTTTCCTTCCTTGGGGGCCAGACAAGCATCTCGCGGCAGCCCAGATTCTCAGCCAGAGGTAGCAAAACTCATGATCGTGGTGAGTGTGAGTTTTGCTGATGTTTTCGGCAACTTTTTTGTGTGTGCCTTGAGCCTCCTTTTTTTCTTTTTTCTTTTCGAGGTGTGCTCAGCATTCTTTCTTGCTTTGGCTGTTGAACTGGCTGGTTGTTGTAGGTTTTGTCTTAAGCCGGGCATGAGTTGCCCATTTCCAGGCTTGTGTTGTCTGCCGCGAGGAGAAAAGGCCGAGGCGCTTCGTTTGAGGTGCGCTCTGTGCCGTTGAAGAGATTGGTCGCTTTGTTTTTTTCGTTTTCTTGCGGCCCGACTTCGTCTTCGTTTTTGTCGTCTTTAGTTTTCTTCTGACGGATTGTTTCTTGGGTCTTTTTTGGTTTCGCCCTTTGGTTCTTCGTTGTGCTTGTGATCGTGATGATAGTGTCCCTTTGGTGTGGGCGACCGAGGTTTCTTTTTACCTCCCCCCCCCCCTTTTTTTGTTTCCCATTTTCCATTCCAAATTTCCCATCCAACCTCCCATTTCCTCCCACTCTTTCCAATTCTTCCCATGTTTCCCACCTCTTTCTTTCCTTGCTGGCAGGAGCCAGATGAGGTCCTCTTGTGAAAAGATTGGAAGAGGCTCCTCATGTCTGGCTCCCTTCTCGGACAGCGTTCATCGGCAATCTCCGGCGGCTTTGATTGATTGCTCTTCGTAAGCCGTGCTCCCCAGATGCCAAGAACGTCTTCGATGTGAGTTGTCATCGTTGTTTCCGAGACGAACAAAAGTGTCTCCCGGTCCGTTGGTCCATGAACTTGTTGTTTGACGTGACGAGTGTCTTGATATGATGGCACTCGTCCGCAACGACCGGGTTCCACAAGTTGTTCTGGAGCCCTGGGCTTCGTCTTCAAGAAAGTTGCCGCAGGGCTCTCGTCGAGGCCAAGTACATCGATCTCGGCCCCGACTACCTCATCCCGTCTCGCTCGGCTGCCGGAAAACTGGTCTCTCCTTTTCTGGGTTTCGAAGAGTTTGCTGTTCTCGTGTCCCGACAGTCGAGCGATCGCGGTTTGTAGACGAGGGCGGGAGCAATGATGCTTTCCGCGCGCAGACGTAGCCTGTTTGCCCAGTTGTTCACCCTAAGAGTTTGAGGGTTTTTCAAAGGGCGAAAGTGACAAGGCTCACGATGTGCGATTGTGCATCAGCCAAGAGCAGCTCCGCATCTGAGCTACTCAAGGTCAGGCCTCGCTTCCTGGCGATTGACGCTCCTGGTCGTCTGAGGTTGTCAGACTTTTGCGACCCAGCGCGCTTGAATCGCTCAGTCTGCCGGCACAGGCGTCTCTGGGGAGCAGAGAGCCACCTGGGCACCGCGTCCTGGATGTCGGTATCTGATGAAAAGACCACCGCCCAACAGGCCTCCTTTGGAGGAGGTAGTCTGAATCCGATTTGCAGACCGGAGACACTGTCAGGCGGGCGACCAGTGAGCTGTGGCTCGTGGGACTAAGAGTAAAGGGTTTGTCCCGAGCCCGTGTTGAAGATTGAGCTCTGGTCGACCAACTTGATGAGTGAAATCGTTGGTGTCTTTTCTGGATGTAGGACGTCAGTGCTGGCAGTTTGCTGGCCAACTGAAGAGGTGAATGTACTGGCGAATTTGCGCCTGATGAACCTCGCATCCGGTGCTGGTAGCCCATGGATAGCTGCGGTATGAGCACAGCTGGCTGGAGAGCGCAGCATTCACCCTTGGCTGTTGTAGGAGCCATGAACCGAGAAGTCACCGTGCAATGTAATAGTCGAGGTGACGAGTCATCCAGAGGGGATGACGTTCTCGATGGGCGATGCCCACAGGCGAAGACTTTGGGCTACCGGCAAAGGGAGTAAGTGAAGCGCGTGGGCTCCCTTTGAAGAATCCCGGAGTCGCCTGTCTTGGAGGGTGAAGACGAGGCAGCGAGGTTCATCGATGGCACCTCAGGGCTCGGTCCACAGAAAATCGGCTGCAAAGCGTGAGGAGGCCAGCCGTACAGGTAGTAATGGCTGATGAGGCCCCCTCAGAAGTGGCGCGATGCTCTGGCCGTTTCTGTGATGATCGAATGATGTCCACCTCAGTTGGCATAGATTGTGAGGAATCTTGCCGCGCCATCCCTCCAGAATGATTCTGTGAGGGCTTCGAAAGAGGACAGCAGGATATAGCGGCTGTGCTGAGGCCTCCTCAGGAATGGCGCAATGCTCTGACAAGTTCTGGAGTCAGAGCACCGAGATGGACATTTCGAGACCCGAGGTCATCATTTCCGGTTTCTGGTGCTTCGAGAGGCGCAGCCGCCGCTGGACGCAACCGCTCCAGCTCTTTGAGAATGAGCTACGCGGTGTTCGACGGCCGTGTGGTTGGAACCCTAGAGAACGGTGGAAGGTGTGGGTTTTTCTTGCGGTTCCCGGACTCCAACCTCCAATGGGCGGGCTCTAAGGCCAGAGCAATTCTCTGGAGCCAACTGGCCTTTGAATCGATTTCGGCCCTGGCACGGCGTGTCGAAGGAGATCCAGCGGGAAGATTTTCGCCAGGCTCCTCAGATGAGAGGGCTGTTGATACGGCACTGGGGACCAAATATGTTAGCACATCCTGTCCTTGAGTGGTTTGGGCGAATATCAAACAAAGGAGCTCCTTACCTCGAAGCAAATCCGGAAACGTAGATACCATCTCTCAAGCGGGAAGATGCGTGTTCCCTAGTGAGAGCTGTTCCAGGGGGGCATGTGGTCCAGGATGCCTTGTCGTGATTTCGGAGCCAAAGAAAGAAAAGGCCCACCGGATCTGGCCGAGGACGCGAGATGATGTCGACTGAGGTCGAGGTCGTGGTCGTGGAGTGTGTGGTGAGATTGAGACCAACCGACCGCTCGTCGCCCAGGGGAAAAAGGAAAGTCGTAGGCTCGTAGCTGTGTCCGTCGAATGAGAAAGAAATGGACTCCGACAGCCTTTCCTCTTGACAAGTAATCCGAACCGAGATCCGTGGCATGGCATCCGTACAAGGTGTTCCAACATGTTGCTCGACCCCCAATTTCCTCCTCTTTCTCGAGAGGAAGCGACCTCCTGGTGAGGCTTGAGAGTCTGAGAGGGTGCCCGTCTCCGCCCCAGACTCCGAGACCGACCAGCAGTCTCTGACCACACCAAGGCGACCATCCTCCTCTCATTCGTCCCCCTTCGACGGCAGCCTACCTCGGAGGGCCGAGCCAGGAACGATCATGAGGGTCTAGGGCCCGTAGTTTGACGAGTCGGACCCCCGTCCACTGGCCCGGCTCTCCGTGGCATTCAAGTCCTGCAGGGTCTGCGCAGATCTAAGTTGGCGATCTCTCTCCGCAGACCCCGCGGCGCGGGTGCCGTAGGCGGTCTAAGGGGCGGTGTTCCTTTTCGGAGTGTGGAAGATGCTGGGCTTCCGATTCTGCAGCGCTTTCGCCCGCCTCTGAAGCTTCTCGAGCTTCATCCGCTCCTTCTCCTCGGCCGACTGGGGATCTTGGGCGCGACCCGTCAGTCGGTGGGGGGTTGTCGGAGCCGGAGCGGGAGTTGTCGAGGCAGCGGCCGGGCGTGTGATGTTGCCGCCTGGGATAAGCAGGCCTCCGCCCATGTTAATGGGGGCAACATGTCGATCGGTCTGCCCGGCCGGCTGCGGATCGGTGCCTTGCATCTTCGAATCCGGGAGAGTCGGGTGAACACCGTCAACCCGCTTCTGAGACGTGACGGCCTGGCCACCGGCAGTCTCGACGCTGGAAGGCTCGCGTCGCCGCTCGGGAGCGATCGGACGCGAGCCGGGACCCTAGCCCGGCTCATCGTCCTTCTCGTCCCTCGCATTGACGGCCTTGGGTTTGCCTGCGTCGTCCTGCCGCAGCTGGTTGGCCGCCTCCTTTGCCACACAAGGGCCCCTTGCGACCAGCTTGGGACGAGCCGTTACGGTCTCGGCATCGTCCAACATGACCTCCTCCTTGGAAGCGTCCTCGTTATCGCCCTTTCGAGGAAGCTCCAAGTCGGTGTCGAAGCTGTATCGCCGGGGACGCTCGTATGCGGGCGTCTCAGGTTTCGGCACACTGACTACGGAGGACGGGGGGAGCGCGGGCAGAGGGGCCTCGGGAACTGGCGCCGGCTCTGTGGCTTGTCGCTCCGAAGATGATGGGGGCTCCGCGATGCCCTCCATCACCTCCTGGCGGTGCTGTACCGCCTCCCCGTCCTCCTGTGCCTGAATCTCGAGGAAGGCCCTCTCCTGGCCAACCTCGGGGGCGAGGACCATCTCGGCACTGGACTGAGGCCCCGCCTCAGGCACCACACGTACCCTACCCTGGGCTGACACGGGTGCACTGAGGACCTCCCCAGCCGAAGCCGAGGAGTCGGGGGCATTCAGCCCGAACTCTGCCTCCAGCTCCGCCCACTCCTGGGCGGAAAGGACCGACATGGGATCGACCAGCGAATCCCACGCCAGGTCGGGGGTGGCCTCAAGGGGGGGAGCTGGGGCGATGGTGGCGGCGACGTTAGACGCGTCGACGACTGCGCGAGGAAAGCTGTACGCAATGTCGTCGAAGAATTGAGCATCCTCCATCAGGGTCGTGAACGAAGGCACCTGATGGGTGTCGTCCACCGCCACCATCGAGTTCTGGGCACCGGTTTCAACGTCGACTTCCGGCACGGCCTGCTGGACGGCCGCGTCCGACATGTCTCCGTCTTCCAAGAGTGCCTCGGGGTCCGAGATGGTCATTCTCGAAAGCTGGCCAGCGGTTTCGTGAATTAACACTTCCAAGACTGCGCCAGCACGACCCGCCGCTTCGACTGCGGCCATGTGCTCGGAGCCCGCGGTTGTCTCGCCAAAGAGAGACCGGCGTTGGAGAGAGTCGACGAGCCCGGATTCGATCTCCTTCGCCACCGCGGTTCCTCCGATGACCACGGCGAACGTCTCCTCCCACTCCATAGAGTTCTCGGAGTCGTCCACCAGGCCACCGGCGACCTCCCCAAACGACCCGCGAAAGTCGGTTGGTTCCTCGGCCGTGTCGAGCTCCATCGGCGATCCGTGGTCGACCACGACAGACCCCGAAAGATCCGCCGCTGCCTGCACCACGATCGGCCGGCCAGTGCTCTCCCACTCCATGGAGTCTTCAAGCACCAACGTAGCCTCGCCAGATGGATGGGGCCCCCACACGAGGAGGCGGTCAGACGCCTCCAGTCCAGGGTCCCCAACATGGCATGTGGGCGTCACCACATGGCCCTCGGCCCCAATAGAGGCCTCGGGCGCAAGGGTGGCGCCCAAAAACGGGGTGAAGCCCTCACCAGAGACCGGCTCTGGGTCTTGGGCCGCTCCGCAGTCGAGCATGCTGCCTTTCCGGGCAGCGGCGGGTGCGTCATCTGCAACGCCGGCGGCGGTGGACTTCCCCAGTCCCACGGGCGGCCGGTCGTTGTAAGTGCCGCGGGCGTCGAACTCCTCACCGTTCGACCCCACGGCGGCAAGAGGGCCTCGCCGCATCTCGTCACCCTTCCACCCCTCCAGCAGGGTCTCGGGGCCCGATGCGGCGAAACTCGGTGTTTGACCGCCGTCTCCCTCAGGCTCTTGCGAGCCGTCGCCGGGTTCCTGGGCGGTGATGACGGGGACCGGGCCGCCTTCCCCGTCCGACCCTTGCGAGCCGTCCAGCTGGGCGTCCATTATCGATCCCCGGCCGGCTTCACCTTCAGGCCCTCGCGAGCCGTCGGGTTCCTCACCGGCCGTCATCTCCCCCCGGCCACTACCATCTCTCAGCTCTGGGGAGCTGTCCGGATTTTCAAATGTGGCCGTGAAGCCGACGGCAGGGCATTGATCCTCACCAGAGGACTCGGAACCGTCCTCTGGGTCTCGGATGGGGCTAATGGCCCCTGCCGTCGACTCGTCCCGTTCTTCTCTGTCGTGCAGCTGCTTGTCCAAGGGCATCGGGAACAGCCCTTGATGGGCCCCAGACCGCTCGATGGGGTTGTCGTAGTCGAGAGGCACCGTCTGGGGATGCTGCACGGGGGTATCCAGGTTCGTGGTCGGTCCAAAGGCGCGACGGCGAACCGTGGGCAGAGAAAATGGGGACAGGGGGGCACCGAGTTGGGCCATCTTGCGTCCATGCTGTCTCCTCTTCAAGACGTCGCGAATCCAGGTATCGTTCACCCTCAGATAACCATAATCGCGAAGGGCGTCTTGCTCGTGTTTCGGAGCTGCATGCTCTTCCATGGTACCACCGCAAAGGAGGCTGCGGTAGTAAAGGTCGCCAGGCGACCCGATGCCGGAAGGCATGTAGCACCGGATGAGATTGTCGGGCAACGAGATGTCAGCGTCCAGTGCTTGGTGAAATTGTCGAGTGAGCAACTGGATGACCCAACGTGCCATGGCCGGGGTTTCCGAAACACAGAGGTCGAAGAGAGCGAGCATGGTGAAAGCCATCCAAATCTCCGCCAGGATGAACCCGACGTCGGGCCCCCTCGCCCCGGCCTTGGTGACAGCTTCGCCGAACCAGAAGACCGTCATGAGGAACCAGCCAAGGCTCGGGGACACGAACGAGAGATGGAGGCACAGGAGGATGTAGGTGCCGAGACGGGTGGCAGTGAGGAACCACCCGGCACCGAGGAGGAGGAGCTCGCATGTCCGGCGAGCGATGTCGAGGAGGGGGGAGGTGAGGGCGAGGAAGACCTCGCACAGCATGCAGACAAGGAGCCCGCAGAGGCCGCCGGAGCCGAGGTCGCAGAGCATCATCCTGAGGTCGGATGATGGAGGAGAGGGTGAGAGAGGGAGAGTGTGTGTGAGAGAGCGTGTGTGTGAGAGTGTGTGAAGGCGTGCGTGTATGTGTGTGCGTGTGCTGATGCCGCGATCAATCGTCTCAACTGCGCGATGGTGAGAGGATGAAGAAGGAGAAAGAGATTTTTTCTGTGCGACGCAATCAGGGCTTCCCTTTATAGACCAGAGGAGCAGCTGCCATGATTCACTGACAGCTGCCCGTTGCCCCGGGGAAATGAGCCATCTGGCAACTGGCAACTGTTCAGGGGGCGCCGGCACCGCGCCCCAGCCACCACGGGCAGGCGGCAGGGCCTGTTGCTGTTCAGAAGGCCTGGCACCCATTCTGAAACTGCCACCCGGGTGGATTCGGGGGGGGGCGATATTCATAGAGTTGAAATTCAAACCCAGCTATCCTACGTGGTGACCTCTCCTCGAGAGCAGTCCAGCCTCTCGGGGGGTCACGGCGAGCTATATACGTCGACGGCACTACGCCGTGCTTCAAAGAAGTCCAACGCGGCCCAGACAAGGATATGCAGGTGACTTTCGTCATTGTCGAAGGTTCTTTCGAGGAAACGCCGGGCTCCTTTGCTGGTCAAAGAGTCGCAGGCCGGGCCCGAGTGACTTTGTTACCGGCTGCCTGCATTTCCTGAACAGCAAAAACACCCTGTTCCTCTTTTACAGTGATTCACTATTCACTGTACAGTTAGTTGCCAGCCTATCAGGGTTCTGCCGGTTGCAGGGGCAGTGCAGGCGGGCTGCGAACGACACGAGCAATGGCCTGGTGCTTGCACTCGAGGCGCGAATTGCAGCCCTCTCCATCCAGGCGCGGAATTCAATTCGTCTCTGGTGGCTTGTTTGAATAGCAAGACGACCGAGGCACCGCCATTCTCAACCCATTGTTGTTGAAAATCAAACGCGTCAAGCGAGGCCAACCGACTTGGTATTCACACCTCCAGCTGTTCTCCCTGCCCATGCACGCTCGCTCATTCAAATCCCTACGCCTCACTAGCAAAGACCAGTTACCGACTCCCCAAGCCCGTCGTCAATCGTCACTGCATCAAGCAATCCGCCAGCCGTCACTTCTTCCCCCTGGCAATCAGTCTCCGCCGTAGCTCCACAAACACGTCACTCCAATCCTCGCTCTTTTCCTTCTTGACCGTGTTGCCGATCCTCGTGAGCAGAAAGTCTTCAATCTTGCCCACGTTGAAGTGCTCTCCGTACACAACCTTGGCCTCGGCCGAGATGCCCACATCAATCCCGGCCTGGCCACTGCAGCTCCGGAGCAGAAGCCTGACCTCGACTTTTGTTCGCAAAGGCACCAGGAGCAGCGAGCTTGTCACCGAAATGCTCGAGTCGGATGTCTTGGCAACAGTGGTTGGGAACACGACGTTGATGCGGCTGATTTGCGACGACACCAGCAAGGCCTTGTCCCATCCAGCCTGAACCTCGCCAATGAGGTCAGACATCTTGGCTCCGCTCTGTTGCAGCGCCCGGGCATGATGGCGCATAGACTGCAGCCAGATTTCCTTTTCCGTCGTCCTCGGCACGGGGTCGTTTTCTCTAGCATCGGCAATGTACCAGAGATCCATGGGCGAATTCGGCCCACCGGGCTGCATCGAAGCAATGTCGACGACAAGTTCAATGTCCCGCTTGTACGTCATGGAAAGGTTTGACCCGGAGAGCCCTGTGACTGCCCAGCCATGCTGCTTTTCGATGGCTTCTACGCGAGCTGTGCCAGTTGTCAGCCGTCAGTTCTGGGCGGCAACTCCAATGGTCGACATACCTTTCAGAGCATTGACCTCTCTGCTTGTCCAGCCACGATACTTTTCTCTGATTTTCTCCGACTTGTTCATCTCTTCCATGCACTTCGTCTTCTTCAGCGACAGGTCCTCCACCTCTGCGGCCGAAGTCTCAAAGTGCTGTCGGAGCTCGGCAATCTGCTGCTTCTTGATGGCAACGTCCTCTTCCAGGGCTTCCAGCTCCTGCCGAGCCGATTCAAGCTCAGCCGGGTCGCAGTCGGCCATTTCTCGAGCAACCGCCTGCAGATTGCCCTCTTCTTCTTGGAGGGACTCGTAACGCGCCGCGAGGGCGGGCAAAACTGAAGTCAGCAAATCTTGCTGCTCCTGCAGAAGCTTCGAGTCGCTCTCCATCCCCTCGGCGATATTCACGAGTCCTTCTTTGAGGCCGTCTTGTAGTTTCATCCTCCACTCGTACCACATGGCCTTGCTTAGGAGCCTGGCGTGAGTCTTGACATTTTTGAACTGATTGTCCATGAGTGCCTTGACCTCTGGCGTGGCCGACATGTACTCGCGGAAGAGAGGCGGGTTTTCTTCAAACGTCTCATTTTCAATCTCCTTAACCATGCGTCGTCCTTCGGAAATGTATTGCTTGAGCTCCCGGCACGAATGTTGATATAGCTCCAGCAATGGGACGGTGCAGGCACCCGCGACCACGCAGCACTCCAGAGAAAGGTCATCCTGTCCGTCGGCTGCGCTTCCGTCCTCTCGAGTTCCAGGAGCAATCGTGTGGCGGCGCTTAGTGGTTGTCAGTTCCATGAAGCGAATCGAAGTCATGTTTAGAAAGTCCTGGAGGTGGATCTTGTCCTCGTCGACCTCACGCTCAAGTTCCGCGTCATCCTTGACGCTTAAATCATGAAAGTTGACTTCGTGCACACTCGGGCTGTCTCCGACATCCTTGAAGCGTCCCTGATTCTGGGACGTCGCGGCTGGCTGGTTTTTAAGCGGTGAGGAAAACGATGGCGTACAAGTCCTGACAGCTTGCTCCGGGCTCCTTCGTGCCGATCTCGTGAGCCGCCCAGTAGTCTCGGAATTCGACGGTGGTTGCTGCAGTCGCACGTTTTTGACAGGGCTGCTCTGATGTCCCTTAAGTCTCTTGACCCCGTCGTTATCTTCGGCTTCGTCATCACCTTCCAACTCGGCAGGCCGCTTGCCCAGCAGGCCTTTGGCACTTCCAATGTGGAGACTCTTCCTTCCTCTGAGCGGTTTCCATTTTGGGCTGAGGCTGTTGATCATCTCCCGAAGGTTGAAGGTGGCATCTCTGTCTTCCTGCGAACCATCGGCTTCGCGTTCTAGAATCTTGCGTCGATTCTCTTTATCCTCTTCATCCCGACGCTCTCTATCAATCTCCTTTTCTACTTCCTTTGGCTCCTCAAAAGCAACTGCTCGCTTTCCAGGGACGAAAACGGACGCCAATTTGCTAATGGAGCCGCGTCGGTCGCATAGCGCGGCGACCTGAGGAGATCCCAGACCGGGTCGATCGATACCAACCCCAGAGAGTCGGCGCTTGGGGGGTGTCAGCACAACTGTTGGAGTCTTGTCGCCTGTCTCGGGGTTCCGCCTGAAGAAAGAGCCCCTCTGTTGAGTAGCTTTTGCTGGTGAAGGGGTTTTCTTTTCGCTCGCTGGACTAGGCTTCTCCGGCGAAGCTGACAGTGGTTTCGGGCTTTGTTTCCCCGTTTCTGGATTTTTGGTAGAAGCCGGCTGTCGCTGCGGCGTCTTTGTCTTGGAAGGCGACAGCGTCCGTGATCGTGCTCCAGATTGAGGTGTGGTTTGCGTCGGCGGTCCAAGACTTCGGCGCAAGCCTTTCCCTTGAAACGCCGATAGCCCAGGGCTCTCCAATGATGCCTTCTCCGTTGTCTGCAAGATTCGGGAAGACCTCCGCGACGGCGACTGTTGGGTCACTGCCGCAATGATTGCCCTTCTCGGGCTGTCTGGTCCGTCGACCTCTTCTTCCATGATCCGCTTATTGAGAGTTCGCGGAGTCATCTCTCCGTTCTTGATGATGCCTCCTATGGCAGTGGTGATGTCCATGCCCGTGGTTGCGTTTGCATCCTCCTTGCTTTCTGGGCTGGTAGCAGACATGATTCGGCCGACACTGACAGTCATGTCCATTGCGGCATCGTCCACATCTGCCTCAGCCAGGCGACTGAGGCTTTGTCGCCGGCTGGCCGCTGCACGCGAGTCCCGAGGCTTGGAGAGCACGCCCCCGATGATGGTGGTCAGCTCCATCGACATGTCCTCGTGGTCCTCCACGTCGTCCGGATCTTGGTTTAGTTTACTACGGATCCCACCAATAACAGCAGTGAACTCCATTGTAGCCTCGTCCGTCGCGTTCTCTTCCTGGTCGTTGGAGGCACCTTGTGCTCTGTTTTGTGACAGGATAGCACCAAAGGCTTGGGTGACATCCATTGACATGTCTCCGCGAGGATCCGTCCCGTGGGTGCTGGGAGGCTTTAAGATTCGCCCGACGGCGTGGGTCATGTCCATGTCCGCGTCAATATCCATTTCCATTTCTGTTTCGTCATCCTGTTCTTCCTGTTGGATCTCAGCTTGTCGTTGGACTGGGCTTCCACAGCTCGCAGGCTTGTCGCTTGATTGATTGCTCTTTTTCACCCAGCCAAACGACGGTATGACTTCTTCTCCGTCGTCGGAGTCCTCGCCCTCATCATTTTCGTGACTGCCCGCTCCGGCTCTCTGCGCGGCAATCCTAAGAGCTTCATCCAGTGTGGAGTCCTCAGCTGTGGCTGTTGACCGATCCGAGGCGACTGAGGTGCCAGTCACCTCTTCAGTGTCAATGGTCATCATGGTCCCGTCGTCAGAGTCGCTGCTAGAGGCCTCATCGTCGTCCTCTGCTATCTCCTCCACTGCGTCCGCAGGCTCAGAATCAGAGCTGTAGACAGTTGATGCTAGCGTATCATCGTGTGCGTTGCTGAAGTTCATGGGCGGGATTCCTGAGCTTCTGCGCCGTCGACGCTGTTGAAGTTCTCGCTGGTCTTCTGGCGACCGGGGGATGTTCTCCGGTTGCGACGGATGCGTCTCTTCACGAGTGGCTGTAGCAGAGCTTCGGCTTGGGGACTTGGCACCGGACGAGGCTCTCCTGGTCGAGTCGGTCGAGCTGGTTGAGTCCTGCATGTATTCGACCTCATGGAAGGTATGAAGTGTCGCCTCGGCGGCGAAAGAGACCCTTCGGTTGGCGAGTGACTTTCGACGAGCATCCCGCCTGTCGCGCTCTTCTCTCTCCTTTGCGGCAGCTTGCTGTTCCTCCTCTGTGCGCAGGGGAAGCTTCGATCCGAGCAAGTCTTCGCTCGACAGGCTCGAGCCTGGGGTCGGATCGCGAGCATCGCTTGCAGCGCCGGGCTTTCGATTTCCATTCTTCAGGGGCGGGATCTCGGGGAGCGAGGAGATGCTAGGCTTTAGAATCGACCGCGGGGGCTTGACCGGGGCGGCAAGAGACTGTGTTGCTGTTAGCGGTGACTACCGATAATGAGCATTGGTCTCCTCACAGCGCGCCTGTTCCCAGCGGACTGCTTCAAGGCGTCCAATCCACCAGGACCCATACTCTTGCTCCTAGATTTGCGACTGGCAGCCAGTGAACTGCCCACATCAACTGTCGCATTTTCCTTGTCCATGGCGTCGCGGGCTGCCGGTTGCGCGCCGATAGACTTGCGGCTTCGCCGTGCTAGTGGCAAGGTACGATCAGCCGACGACGGCATTTTGACGATGGCAGCACAAGAGGCTGTTGTGGCGGCGGCATCAACGAAGAACCGTTGCGGGCGGGTAACTGATAGGTTCGCGATGACCGCGTTTGTTTACTTTGCCAGGGGCGAGCCAGGGTACGTACCGAATAATCCCTAGCCCCACTGATGTCAGTGCTGCCTGGGGGACTGGCTGCAGATCACGTGGGACGTCGTACAGGCATGGGGGGAGGGGTGTCGCCACGGAACGGCTCAATCATATCCCGACAGCCAGCCGACGCAGCGGGTCCATTCGGCAAGTCTACCAATCCGAATTTTGCAAGCCCTAAAGCGCGAGTGGGTGCAAAAAAATGGTGTGGGAAGACCCTCCTCTTCACTCTCGCCCAAGCAACTCCACGCCTTGCCATCAGCCATCGACACGCCTTCTTGCCACGACACCTCTCCGGAGCAAGATCAACCAAGATGTCAGTTCTCGCGCCCTGTTTCTTTGCGACCATTGGCGTGACCTGTCGAAGTTAACCAGCTTGCTCAGGGCGACCGAACTCACCGTTCAATCGGAGCGCGCTTTCCAGAAGCAGCCGCACATCTTCCAGAACTCCAAGGTCAAGCCCAAGAGCTCCAGGCCTGGCAAGGGTGGTCGACGATGGTACAAGGACGTCGGTCTGGGTTTCCGAACCCCCAAGACCGCGATTGAGGGCAGCTACATCGGTACGTATGACGACTTCTCGACGAGCGGGAGATTGGGCGCGTGCGACTATACGGGGCAAGGAATCGCGCCGCACGCAGTCATGGCTATTTGAAGGAGCGCGGGGAAAATGCTGACTCTCTACCCTGCAGACAAGAAGTGCCCTTTCACCGGTCTCGTGTCGATCCGCGGCCGTATCCTCAACGGCACCGTCGTCTCCACCAAGATGCACCGAACCGTCATTATCCGAAGAGAGTACCTGCACTTCATCCCCAAGTACTCCCGTTACGAGAAGCGCCACAAGAACCTCGCCGCCCACGTCTCCCCCGCCTTCCGTGTTGAGGAGGGTGACCAGGTCACCGTTGGCCAGTGCCGGCCCTTGAGCAAGACTGTACGTCTTGCCACAACTGGTGACAGGGAGTTGGTTGTAATGGAATGGGACTAACTGTCGGCAGGTCCGATTCAACGTCCTGCGCGTGCTGCCCCGAACTGGCAAGGCGGTCAAGACATTCAGCAAATTCTAACTCGGGCTTCTCGTGTGGCATTTTTGGCGTGATAAACAACAAGGGGGTGGACATTCCCACTGCAGGGTCGGGCACCGGAAGTTGATGGGCAGTGATTCTCTGCTGTGGTTGCAGTCTAGAATAAGGTATTCATGAATGCAACAAAAATGACGACATTTCGGGGCTGTCAGCTAGCGTCTATTGCCACCATTGGGCATTCTTATCGATCGGTGCAGATGGCGGTTACCTGGAAACCCCACGGCCTGCTTCCCGGCTCGGTCGGCTTTAGTTTCCCTGCTCGATTGCCAGTTCATCAAAACGACGGGGAAACTGTCCGCAAACTCTTGGATAACAAACAATTTGATACACGCCTTTGGAGCAAAAAACGGAGGACTCTTGTACTTGGAGCGGTCGAATTGGTTCAAGGCTGAGAGGGGGGTATATGCTCCTCTTGGGCAACATCACGCTATGTCCAATGCCTCTTCTGACAGAAGGTTCAACTGTAGCGGATTTCAAGTGTTCCTATCCTGAATTCTCCCGTCTGGCTACAGGGCGCTCCATTTGCCTCAGTTGTCTCGACTCGAGTCTGAATACCAGTGAATCCATATCCGTGTAGCTCGGGAGGGCAATTCAATATCCCTTTGAGTAATGAGAAGCGCTGTGCTCGATCACATCATTTATTTCTTGTTTACGAAAAGCACCACGTCGAATACACGTATATGGCAGGATTGGCCCATGTAATGATGTGAGACGGCTTTTTGGGATGAGTCCTCGACGTCGTCTGTGTCGCGACCCAACCTAGTAGTTGATTACCAAAGCCGAGAGTGCATGCTGTTACTCCTCGCAATTTGATCCGAGCGAGATGCTTCAAAGAGGGTATTTGAAGGCCCAAACCAAGACGCTGCTCAAGCCTTTTGTCGGCGTGGCTGCCCTGTCAAGCCTTGTACGGAATTGAAGCCTGCGAGGACGCTTGGGTTCGCGGGTAATTGGCTGCTGCCGCATGATTGGTCAGAGCCACAGGAGCCATGCACTTGCTCAACCCACACCCAACCTGCACCTTCGCATCTCAACTTCCATGACAGAGCCTCCGAATATCCAAATAAAATAAAATAGAAATACCTCCGCCGCCCGCCCTCTGCGCCTTGCGCCGTATCGCATCCCGGCCGAAATGGGCTGGTGGTCGTCGGTATTTGGCTCCAACACGTCAGCCGATCCCCTCGAGAAGCTCGACCCCAAGCTCCGCGAGTTTCTCGAAAAAGAGTCGCCCGTCAAATACTCGCCAACGCAGCCATCGCCTCCTCCTGCCCCCCTGGCGCCGCGCACGGATGACGCCAAGATAGCGAGCCCCGTGGCCGGCCAGCCGCAAGTGCCCGCCGCCAGCCTGTTCCCAGACGGCCGCTACGCCCACCTGTGGAAGAACTACCGGCCTCTGTCGCAGGTCGAGGCGGAGTCTGCAACCGATCATGACAAGCTCGTCAACGTGCTCGAGGGGTACAAGGACCGCAAGGCGGCAATTGGGCGCGCTGCGCTGGAGAATTGTGCGCTGCAGCAGGAGGAATGGGTCAACTGCATGAAGCACGGCAGCTGGGAGGACCAATTGCAGATGTGCAGATACCAAGTGCGCCGGTTCGAGAGGTGCTACGGGATGCAGTCGGTAAGTCTGATGAGCACGGTGTCTGCTTCATCTTCTCTTGGCTGACTCGTTCTCAGCGATTCCTCAGGGCCCTGGGCTTCGGCTCCGTCATGGGCCGATCCCTCGAGGTCGACGAGGACATACAAATGCACGCCGACTCGCTGTTCCAGCGAATGCTCAAACACGAGGCGGCAGTGGAGCAGGCAAAAAAGGACGGGACGCCGATTCCAGTCTTCGAGGTCGTCCTGCCCGGGGCAAAGGCAAGCGCGGCAACGCCATCGGGGGAGCTGGCGAAGCGGTGGAAGGAGGACCTGGAGAAGCTGCCGGAGGACGAGCGCGCGGTCGAGGAGGCTGCACTGAGGGCCGACTTCGAGGCAAAGGCCGAGGTCGCGACGAACGTGAAGAAGATATGGAAGTCGCAAAAAGAAGAGAGGGATGCGCGAAAGGCCGAGGGACAGGCCACATTTTTCGACAGCATAGCCGCGCTCTTTGGGCGTGGAGAAAAATGATGCTCTTGGAGATACCCGGCTGCCATCTTCACGTCCAAGCCTCTGATGCTGTACAGTATTCGTTGTAAGAGATGTGCCTCCCCAATAGTGTCTCTTTCCATGTGAGATGTCGTGGGCACCCGTGCATTGTGCGAGCATGATCCCGTTTTCTTCACCCAGCATATCTGCATTTATTCAGGTTACAGGTTCCTAATTCAAATTATGTTCCTCTAATTACAACAACCATCACATCTGGTTCCGTGGTCTAGTTGGTCATGATTTCTCGCTAACACCGAGACGGTCCCCGGTTCGAGCCCGGGCGGAACCACGTTTTTTTGTCACATTTTACGTGTGACCAATTTGTTCAGGTGTCTGTGGTACAATCACTTTTTGGTCTCCCGAGATATTTTGTTCTCATATCGTCGTGGGTTTCCGTAAATGTTGGGATAAACACAAGCTTGAAGGCCTTCAAGGGCCCGGTTCTTGTTTCGTATTCACTTGATTACACGGCTCGAGCATCCAGCTTCTTCTGATCGGCCGGGACTGTCTGAGGCGATGGAACAATCCGCGGCACCACTCTGGTGGTTTTATGGGTCAACGCACTCAAGCCATTACCACAAGCTGAGGGTTTACAACCCATGGTGACAAGGCTGCTGTCTCTGCACCTGCGATTGATGGTGGACTTGACCACGATACGCACAAACCAAGGCTTTCTCCGTATCCTCACTTTCACCAGTCCTCCGCCAGCCAGCATATAGCCATGGGTTGCGGTGACGCGGATCGCGAATTGAAGTTGTTGTGTACAGGGTAGGGTGTGGTTATGAAGGACCCGACAGACGGTGGATTGCCGCGGTGCCTACGGATACGGAGGATCGCAGTGAGTGACGACTAAACAACAGTCATGAGCCCTGCATACATAAATGGATTGACGGAGACACCATTGATTCGCCCGACTACTTCATAGGTGAGAGACTTTCCAAAGCAGTGTCTAGTGACATTGAAAATGCTGCCTCGAATCTTCGCACTCTATCCTGCCGCCGAGGAATGTACAGGGTCAACGAACGCCAAGGCCATAGAAAGTGCGGTGCGCGGGCCATGGCGTCAGAGATGCCCTTTGTTCAGCAATGATTGATATTGGAATCGCGCGGTAACGAGAAGCAGAGCAAAATACTGCAGCCCGCCAATGGACCGTAGTCAGATGAAGCGCGTTCCGAGCACATGTCGCTTTCACGGCCTTGCAATTGCTGGACAGGCAATTGCTGGACAGGTCAGCAGTCATGGTGGAGACGCGGACGAGAAGACCCATTGCTCAGACGATGCGACTCGCCAATCACGACTGCCAGAATGTACGGACCTTAGCATCAAGGGAGGGAAGGCAAATCGATTCTATGCCGACTATTCTCTCCAAAAGTCACGAGGACGTAGCGTTTTTGAATTGGCAGTCCCACTACTGGCGGGACAGCCGGGCGGCCTTGAATCGACTGACGGGTTCAGACGCATTCTCGGCCTCGTCCAACACCTGGATGGGCGACTCGTCTTCCTGCAAGAACCCACCTTGACGTTGGATGAACTTTTTGCGCAGTGCCTGGTATTCACCGGCCACAGCGTCGTGATCCAGAGAATCGTCAAGCTCACCGGGCGGTGGAGGATTGGGCCTGGGTTCCCTCTCGACGAGTCGATCCGCCAAGGTTGTCCCCTCGGGGCCCGATGCCGGTGGCTCCGGTTCTCCCTGGTCAGCGAACCGGCGAGGGACATCAAAGGGGCCCTTGGGGATGTCTCCACTTGAAGCAGTCTCATGTCTGGCTTTCGCGAATCGCGATGTTCTCCGAGGCGCCCTGGGCTCAGTGGCGGGTCCAGAAGCACTGGCAGGGCCTGACCGCTCAACAATATCGCCGAGCGGTTCAACGGGGGGCTCTTCTCTCTCGCTCATGGGAGGCACGGTAGGCTCATTGTCTGGGGCAACGTCCAGCGCCTGAGCAAACCGCACGCCCTTTTTCGCATCGACATCACCCTGCCCATCCTTGATGCTCGACTTCGTGGGCTGGGGCTTTGACGCGGAAGATGGCGTTTCTCGGCCATGCTTGACGACTATGCGGCCAATGCCTTCGTCTTCGGCGTCGGAGTCCGCATCCTCATTGTCAGCATCCTGGGTGAAGCGCGACGTTATGCCGAGCCTTTTCTCCAGTTCAAGCATGCGTTGCCGATACTCATCAGTGACCAAGCGGCTCGTTGACCGCCCGAACCGATCCTCCCCATCATCATCATTGTCGTCTTGGTCGCTTTCGTCGTCAATATCGTCATGGCCGTAATCGAAGTCTTCGCCATCGTCAGTATCGCCCCCTTCAAGTTGGAGCTCAGCAACCACTGAGCCAACTTCGCCCATGCTGTACTTGAGCATTTGCTGCCGCAGCGCGGCGTCTTCCGGTTCCTCATCTTCCGGTATCACCGGTTCCTGTTGGCTGATGCTTTCCTGTTCCCTTGCCGTCTTCATGATGCGTTCGATGCGCTTGGCTTTTCGCGACATATTAGGTGGGGGAGCGGGTGTGGTCGCGTTGCTTGTATCCGCATCTTCCACAAACGAGACTGTCTTCTTTGGTGCGGGTGCAGACTGTTGCGTTCCGTTGGCAGAAGCTGGCGGCATTTGAGCGGGATGAGCTTGGAAATCCGTGGAAAGCGACTCAACAGCTTGTTGTTCAAGGCCGGGTTCCCCACCCGGAAGTTCCTCAACACCTGCCTTGGCCAGCGCCTCCCGGACATGGGGCACCGAATCACCTGGCCGGTTCAAGCGGTACGAGACAACATTGTCGTCTTGGTCCAAGTTCTCGATGATTTCGGTAAAGGGCTCGCTGTCTTCGTCCGTGGCGTCGGGCTGACTGATGACGGTGGCGGCGGCATACCTGTTTTCCACCGCCTCGAGTTGCTTCTGCAAGCTCTCGACGTTTTTGGTAACATAGTCTATCCGCCGTTGCAAAAGGTTGACAATGTGCTCCCTGGAGCGCGAGCCTCGGGGTCCGAACACGTCGTCTAGCTCCTTGCCACGGAGGAGCTCGCCCTCGTACTCGCTGTGAATCCGATGCAACTCTGGCGCCTCGCTGTCGGGGCTTTCCGGGGCGGCGTCAACCTCTTCCTTGAGGGCTTCGTACTCGGCGTCCCACGTTTGCCAGTGCTGGAGGGCCTTGCGTAGTTGCTTGATGTTGTCTTCCAGCTGAAGCCGATGCCTCTCCAGGTCGAGAAAGCTGTCTTTGACACCGGCCATGTCGATCGAGTTGCCAGCTCACCGAGCCTTGACCGGATGAGAATTGCGAAGAAGGGAAGTTGAAAAACCAAGGTGACAGGGAGGGAAAAGCCCTGGGCCGGGTACGTAGAGTGGCGTCAAGGCACGTACTGTGGGCCATGTGGCTGATCTTCGGTTAAGGGTTGTTTGCATACAGCGGGCACTCGAATGATTGCCGCCAGACCATCAGCTGACGCGCTGGAGAAGCGCCTATTCGACGACGCTACACGAGATGCGACAGGCGGGTACGCAAATTAGGACGCCTCGGCCGTCAGCCCTTGGGCGAAAGCGAAAGAGGGGCTGTCAGGGATAAGTGCTACTGCTACTGGAGAGTGAAAGATGACAAGTCGAACCGTCCTCTTGCGTCCTCGAATCGCCCAAAGACGGAGAACCAACCCTTGAACCGCCGGCGCCATGGCAGACTCTGAAAACATCCAGACACTTGAAGCCAAGTGCTTCTGCGGCTCCATCCACATGACGTTTGACGTCCCCGTCTCGTCTCTCCCCTTCGCCGCCTACCTCTGCCACTGCAGCATGTGCCGCTATGCCACCGGCTCGCCATGCATCTTCCACACGCAGCTCCCTGTTGGCCTGTTGCCCAAGTTCGTGGGCGAGTCGACCGAGGACAAGCTGAGCTCGTACACGGCCAAAGGGGCGGACTGCAGCTACGACTTTTGCTCCATGTGTGGCTGCCACATTGGCGGAGTGAGCCTTGACCGGCGTCAGTGGACCATGGCCACATCCATCTTCAAAGACCACGGACCAGACAAGTTCCAGATCAAGTATCACGTCTTCAGCAAGAGTGCCAAGGGGCGTGGACTGGCATCTATCGTGACTCGATTAGGCGACCGCGAGGTGAAAACGTGGAACCCGCCAGACGATGATCCCCGCGCCGCGCTTGTGACATCCGAGGCCGAGACGGGAGACGATGGCCAAGACCGCCTGCGTGCCCAATGCCACTGCGGGGGCGTTTCATTTACCGTCAGGCGGCCGACGAAGCAAGTGCTCGACGATCCATTCGTGACCAAGTTTGTCTCGCCTCTGGACAAGAAGAAGTGGATGGCCGTCTTCGACGCCTGCGACGACTGCCGTCTAACCTCTGGATCTCACGTCGTCGGCTGGGCCTTTGTGCCCCTTTCCGTGTGCGAGCCACCCATTGACCCCAAGCTCACCATTGGAACGGCCAAGTCGTACTCGTCCTCGGAGGGCGCGTTGCGCTCGTTCTGCGGCACGTGCGGCGCGACCCTCTTCTTTACCGACTCGGAGCGTCGGCCGAGCAGGGAGCAGGCCGTGGTCGACATTGCAACAGGCATAATTCGGGCGCCAGAGGGAGTCATGGCCGAGGATTGGCTCACCTGGCGGACGCGCGTGGCCTTTGCGTCGAGCGGAGTGAGCTTCGACAAGGACTTTGGGGAGGCGCTGAGCGAAGGGATGAAGAGGTGGACCAGGGAAAGCTACGGGGAAGAGGTTGACTTTGAAGTTGGCTAAGACTAGACAAGGTCTACAGCGTACAGACGATGCGGCGTATCTGCTGTCATGACGCCGACGATATCCGGCGGCTGGCCGCTTCCAGTACTTGGTACATGGAGATGCTGATAAAGGTCATGGGCGAGAGCAGCTGAAGAAGGACATGGAAAATGAGAGTCGTGCTGTGCATACTCGTGTGTGTATAAGTCGTCTTTTCGAGGCTTCGGTTGAAGTGGTGAACCGAAGACGTGGGGGGACGCCTTTTCAATGTCACCCAAACTGACTGCGCCGGTCACGGAGAATAAACCAACCAACCAACAACGCACGTCAATCCACCACTTCGCCCTCTTCGCTCCCGCTCGCCCGCAGTAACCCGTGCGCGCGCGGGCCGGTGCGCCTAACAAGTCGAATTGATGCGACGTATATCGCGGCGCCCAGCTCTTCTCATACGCAAAGCCTCGGGCCCGCCGCAGACTCGGCTGCTACGCGCCATGGCTTCATCGGCCAGGTCGTACAATGTGAGTTGATCCTCTGCCCTGTGCATAGAAAATACACTCTGATGATGCTGAGCTCTCTGACAGGATGCCATTGATGCGCTCAACTCGCTGCAGACGCCTCATGCCGTCATCGAGGCGAGGCGCAAAGCCGGGATCCGGCCTGATGCGGCCTCGATGCGCGAGATGAGAGCCTATCTCAGTAGAATCGGGTACACGGTGCGCCTTTTCACTCTATGCTTTGCTCTTCCTCAGAAGGCTAACGTGCGAGGGAAAAAAAAAGCCGGCGGATATCGATGGCCTCAACATCATCCACGTCGCCGGCACAAAGGGCAAAGGCAGCACCTGCGCATTTGTCGACTCCATCCTCGCCCAGTACCGGCACGCGCACGGCACTCCCCGCAAGAGCGGCCTCTTCATCTCGCCGCACCTCATCGCCGTCCGCGAGCGCATCCGAATCAACTCGGCGCCCATCTCCGAGGACCTCTTCGCCAAGTACTTCTTCGACGTCTGGGAGCGCCTGGGGTCTTCGACAGCGGCGCCCGACGACGCGCCCCTCGGGACGAGGCCCCTGTACGGCCGCTACCTGACGCTCGTCAGCTGGCACGCCTTCTTGCAGGAGGGCGTCGACGTGGCCGTCTACGAGACTGGCATCGGGGGCGAGTACGACGCCACCAACCTCGTGCAAAGGCCCGCCGCGTCGGGCATCAGCACGCTCGGCATTGACCACGTCTTCGTTCTTGGCGACACTGTGGACAAGATTGCGTGGCATAAAGCGGGCATCATCAAGAGCGGCAGTCCTGCCTTTACCGTCGAGCAGGACCCCGGCGCGGCGGCCGTTCTGCGGCAGAGGGCAGAGGAACGGGGCGCCGATCTCACCGTCCTGCCCATTGACCCGCGGCTAGACGGTGTCAAGGTCAGGCCCCAGGCGCGATTCCAGAGGAAGAATGCAACGCTGGCAGTGGCCCTCGCCGAAGCCGTGCTGCCGAAGCTGGGCATCGCCGTCTCGCCGCCGGGCTCCTCGCTGCCGCGCGAGTTTGTCGATGGGCTGGAGCAGACGGTTTTCAGGGGTCGCTGCGAGGTCAAGGTCGAGGATGGGGTGACGTGGTTCGTCGACGGGGCACACACTTCGGACAGCCTGAAAATGTCCTCGCGATGGTTCGCCGAAGAGACGGCCGGCCGGTGAGTTTTCCTTTGTCTTGCGATCAACCTTGACCCTCCATAGCCAGCCGCTGACCAAGCTTGCCCTCCTTTCCACAGCCCCGGTCCCAGAGTCATGGTTTTCAATCAACAAACCCGCTCCGAGGCCGTCGACTTCCTCACCTCGATCCACGCGGCCGCCGCGCGCACACCAAACGAGCCGTCTTTTGACCACGTCGTCTTTTGCACAAACGTCACCTACGCCGAGACGGGCTACAAGCGTGACTTTGTCAACCACCAAATCGACCCCGAGGAGCTCGACAAGATGACGGTGCAGCGCCGGTTTGCCGAAAAGTGGTCCGCCCTGGATCCAGCCGCCCGGGTTGTCGTTCTGCCGACCATTGAGGAGGCGCTCGGCTACGCGAGGCATCTCAGCCAGGGGCTGGGTGCCGGCGAGAGCGTGCTGGCCTACGTGACGGGGAGCCTGCACTTGGTAGGGGGGGCTCTGGGCATTCTAGAGCAGGCCGACGCGCTGTAGGATACGGGATGGAAGAGCTTGGTGGAGAAAGGAGGAGGAACGCTGTACGTGATTTGGGCCATAGAGAGCGGGAAGCATAGAAAGGGGCAAGCGAATCCACGGTGTACATCTCAAGCTATAACGAGCTATCGGGCTCCAACACTCGCAATGCAGCGCCAACAAGATGCAGGCTTCCGGTCACCAGCACCTTGGGCTTCACGCCGTGCTCGTCCGCAAGCTGCGCCGCCAAGGCCCTCGCCCGCGCAACAGCGTCCTCGACGTTGTCAACGCACGCCGTATCGCAGCCCGGCACCAAGCCAACCATGGCAGCAGCCGTTTTTTCCTGCACAGCCATGTCCACGACGGCGCCGGCGGGAGGGCGAGCGAGGTCGTTGCGGGTGAAGAGGGCGTGGCGAAAGACGAGCGTCTGGCGGCCGGTCTCACGCTGCACCGCGGCCACGAGCGCGGCCAGCAGCGGCGCCGCTTCCCTGTCCTGCTGGTTGAAGACGAGCACGATCGGCTCGACGGCCGGGGGACGCAGTGACTGGGCGAGCCAGCGCGCGACCTCGGCCAGGCTTTCGGCCGTGTGCGCGCCGTCGAGGAGCCAGGTGACGTCGGCGTGCTCGAGCACCTCGCACCGGCCGCGGAGCCGTGCCTCGCGCAGGCCCTGCACCATGTCCTCGGGGATGCTCCGCAGCGCGGCGAGGAGAGATGACGATGATGATGGTGATGGCACGACGTCGCCCCAACCCAGATGCTCGCGCACCGCCAGCGTCGCCAGCGCCTGGTTCCTCTTCTGAAAATCGCCGCGTAGGAGACCTGGCACGCCGCCCCATTGCCGCACTGTCTCGTCATCGACCTCGACCAGGCTGGCGCCCTTTTCCGCCGCCCGCGCTCTGAGAACCTGCATGACGGCGGGTTGCTGGCGGTGATGGTGGTCTGAAGAGCCGGTGAAGCACTTGACGCCCGGCTTCATGATGCCAGCCTTGTGCCACGCAATCTGCCCTGCCGAGTCCCCCAGCATGGCGACGTGATCGATGCCCAGCTGCGTCACCACGGCCGCCGACACCGCCTCGGGCGGCAGCACATTCGTCGCGTCGTACTCGCCGCCAATGCCGCACTCCATGACGACATCGCCGACGCCCCGGGCGAGGAAGACGTGCCACGCCATGATGGTCAGGAAGCGGAAGAAGAAGGGTTTCGACTCGGGACCCTCAGCCTGCGCCGCGCTCACCCCGTCCTCGCGCCGCGCCGCCTCGCCGAAGCGATCCCACAGCTCGAAGAAGGCGTCGGCAAAGGCCTGCTGGCCTATGGGCTCGCCGTCAATGGCGATGCGCTCCCGCGGTCCCACCAGGTGCGGGCTCGTGTACGTGCCGACGCTGCCTCCTCCATCGCCACCGTGGTGCCGCCACCGCCGCCGCAGTAGCATGGCCGTCGCAAACGCGCACACGGAGCCCTTTCCCTTTGTGCCGGCGACGTGAATGTGCCGCATGCGCGCGAGGTCCGCAGGCCCGTAGCCGGCGCGACGCAGCCACGCGCCCATCTCGGGAATCGCCCGCGCGTTGAGCTGCTCGGGGCTGCCGCCGCCGCCGCCGCCGAACAGGAGCGTCGTGCTGCGGTTCGACTGCAGCGTTGCCAGCTTCTCGAGAGCCTCGGGGTATCCGCGTGCACCGCGCATGCTCAAAGCTTGGCCGCCGCCGCAGACGGCCCTCGCCATGGAGCATGTCGCCGTCGCTCTCGTCGGTGGCTGCATCCGACCTTTCGAGACGAGAGATGATGAGTCTGCGATACGGCGCATCGAGGCGTGGCATTGCGGAGTTTGGTGACCATGGGCGAGTAACGTGACAAGGCTGCGAGAGATGATGCTTTTAACATGGTAAAATACTCGATTCCTTCTGCTCCTATTATATGCTTCTGCCTCTTTCTCTTCTCTTCTTTCACCGCTTGCTTTTTTCTTACACTACTATTATTTTCGAATCATGCCCCAATGTGACGTGACGTGACTGTTGGCAGCATCGTCAGGCTAAAAAGCATCGATTTCGTTGCCCCGCGCCGACGCATCTTCCCGGCCAAACGACCGCAAGTCGCGCTTGGAGAGATTTACTGCAACGGATACCGCCGGTGTCTATCGCTTATTCAGTACACGGGTCTGCTGACGTCCTCTAAGGAGCTTTCCATCCTCCCACCACTGTATAGAACAAATGAGCAACTCCCTCTCAGTCCACCCTCAGGCTCTGCAGCCGCGCCTCCGTAGCAATGACCTGGGAACATGTTGTTAGCGATGCACTCAACCTGTGCAGAATGGGCGGATACTCACATCGAGCGCCTGTTGGACTTCGAGCACCTTGCGAACCTCGCTCAGCCAGTCCTTGCTGAGCGTCTTTGCCCACCCCTGCAGCCCATTCATCTCCCGGGCTGCAGCGTCCAGGTCGCCCTCTTCCAGATACGTCTGCGTGCGCGTCAGGATGCTCTCCACATCGCCCCCCTCTGCGAGCCCCTGCTTCTTGAACAAGACGTGGCTGAGGACCCAGCTGGAGGCGTGGCTGGCCACGCCGGCATCCTCGGGGAGCAGGGACGCTTTGCGCACCTCGCCAGCCACTCGGCGGAATCGGTCGATCAGCTGAGAAGGCGTTGCGATGCCCCGTTGATAGGCGGCGGGGTTGACAGAGGCAATGGCTGCGTCTACCACGGGGTCGTCGGTAGCAATCTCCTTGAGGGCGACGAGCTCCCGGATAAACGGGCGAGGGTGCTGCGCGTCCTCGAGACTGGCACGGACCGCTTCGACGGCCACATGCAGCTGCTGCGTCTTGAGGTTGGAGTCGACCACGTCGTTCCACCCGGCCATTAGCTTCTCCAGATCGGACACGGCCGACGACAACTCGCCCACTTTACCCAAGCGGCCGTCCCGCTCCCGCTCAACCTGGTTCTTGACGTCTTGGACAAACTCCTTCTTCAGGGCCAGGGCTTGCTCCAGGAGCTGATTGCCGAGCTTTTCCTCGTTGAGCTTCTTCTCGCGTTCCATGAGAAGCTTGACTCGTTCGTCGTAGCTCTCGCGCACCGTCTTCATCTCCTGCTCGAATTCGCGTCGCCACTCAACCTCTTGCGCCAACATGGTCTTCTCGACGCGCTTGATGAGCTCGGTAGCGGCCTTGTCGAACTCCTCGATGGACGACTTGACCTCGCCAGCGGCCTTCTTTTCCACACTCTTCCTCATGGCCTTGAGCCTGTCCCCGACCTTGACGATGTCGTTCTTGGCCTTGTTGACGGTCGTTCCGTACTTGCCATGAGCACCATCGGCGTTGATCACCAGTATCAGATCGTTGAGCATGTGCACGAGGTCCCGGACAATGGGCTCCTTTGCATCGGGAAGCGACATGAGGTCGATTGGCTGCAGGGGGGGAAACTTGGACGGCTCATTGACTTCAGGGGCCTTGAAGCTTGTAGAGGAAGATTTTGCAGATTTCTGGGGAGTGGCCCTCTCGGCAGACTTGGCAGCCGCAGGCTCAACGTCAGCAGCTGGAGGCGTCGGTGACGAGGCCCTCCTGGGTTCGTCGGGCGAAGCCTTTGACGACGACTTGCCTGTCAGGCTCCTGGTTCCGGCCGAGGCGCTCGACTGGCGGCCACCCGGCTCCCCGTTGTCCGCCACCCTCCAAGAAGCACCGCTCTGCGCCGGGATTCTAACCGGCTGATCGGACTCGCGGCGTGGCCTCGGATCGCGCCCCGTGGCGTGCGGGAACTTCTTTTTGAACTCCATTTCTTCCAAGTACAGGACAGCCTGTTCGCCATAGGGAACGTACTCGGTAAAGAAATCATGGAAATTGTCGTTGACTCGAGAGTACCAAACGCCGCCTCCAAACCCAACCGCGCCGAGCAGAACAAGTGTAAAGACAAAGCTTCTCAGCCGGCCCATGAAGCTCTTGGTCCTAGGCGGGGGCGGGGGCGGCGGGCTTGGTGTATTGGCCTGGAGAACCGTGGACTCGCCGACATCGTCGATTGTGGCTGTGGGCTGTGGCCTGGAGCCAGGCAAAGGAGGCACCCGGCCAGCATTGACACTGGATTCGCCGATATCGTCAATCGTCGTGGGGGATTTAGTTCGCCCGACGGAAGCTTCCTCGGGCGTGGGAGGAGTCGGAGGGATATTCACGACAGGCGGAGACTTGGTCTCGCCGAAGCTGGAGGGCGACGGGGTTCGCTCAGAGCTCGACGTCTCGGTAGAGGGTAGCACGGCGGCCTTGGACGCGTCGTGGCCGGGCTTCTTCTGGTCGGCAAAGGACCTCTAGAGGCGTCTCGGTCAGCATTGATCCAGTGGTGCCGCATCTGGCACATGGGCAAACATACAATACCCAGCAAGCAAGCTCGTCGCGACGCTGCCGCGGCAGATGGCCATTGGCGGCTGGCAGCAGCCGTAATAGGCGTGCCGCCCAGCACCCGTGCCGACCGGAGCGATGATCGCAGCATGGGGGAATCCGATGGGCAACAGAGGCTTGTCAGGACGGGGGGAGAAGGGAGATGATTTGTAGATGTCGGCAGCGAGACAAAAACGCGCGGGGGGGAAAAACTCGGCTAAATCCTAGGTAGCTTGACACGATGCCCAGCCGGGGGGAGGTTGGAGGGGTGTGACGCCACCAATGGATCCGCGCCAATGCTCTACCAGGAAGACTCCGATCCAACACAGCACACTCTACTTAATCAACCTCGACATCAACCTCGACATTCAACCAATTTGGGCGACGAGGGAACGAGGAGGGCAGCCAAAGGGGTTATTCGAAATAAATACGCGCACCTTGGATCGGCGCATCAGACGTTGATCTTGGCGCTGGCACATCATACCAAAAGGCTGCCAGCCGCCTGTTCACATGCCCATGCCAGTGACGAATAAAACACTCAAGTCTCTGTTGAGACGCTACCGGGAAACGTCAAGCAGGTACTGCACGTCCAGACGGAAGCACCCATGCAGTGTTCTAAACCCCTGCAAGCACTGCTGCCCTCGAGACGGACAAATCGATATTACGTATCAAAACCCAAGAGAAGACAAGCCAATAGATGCGTCTGCCGCAAGCACTCCAAACCCAGGACTCCGAGAAACATACGACGTACTTGAGCCAAGCCTCAATCACTTCTGTCAGTCTATATCCCCAGTGTCATCCCGTCGTTTCCGTAGAATGCGTGGGCGGCACAATTGCCGGGAACCCGTCTGTTCCGAAGCGACGGCGGCGAGTCTAGCAACTGCAAGGTCCGCCCACGTTGGTGTTTGCGTTCTCGGGGGCCAGGCTCACACCCGGTCGCTGGCCTGGCCGAGCATGCCTGGGCCCAACCTGGTCCAACGGTAGCTTCTTGGCGATGGCCGTGAAGAGGTCGCGGACATTCTCGGCCGTCTTGGCGGACGTCTCGAAGAACAGGAGCCCGGCCTCTCGCGCATAAGCCTCGGCTTCGCCTGTGGGGATTGCCCGCTTATCGGGCTGCTCGGTGACCAGGTCAAGCTTGTTGCCGGCGAGCGCAATAATGATGTTCTCGTTGGCCTGGCGCTGCAGCTCCTTGACCCATGCCTTGGCTTTGTCCAGGGAAGACTAGAAGAAGATCAGTCCGGGCAGTCCTGAAACGGGAAAGTCGGACGTGAGCCTACCGATTGCGTAATATCATAGACAACAACGGCGCAGTTGGCATTCCGATAATACATGGGCGCAAGGGACTTGTATCGCTCCTGACCGGCGGTATCCCAAATCTCGAACTTGACTGTGGTGTTTTCATCGAGGGAGATGGTCTGGGTGAGAAAGGCGGCACCAATGGTGGATTCTCGGAACGAGTCGAATTGATCCTGACGGTTTTAATTAGCCATGAAAAATAGCTTTCGCTCGGCCGCCAGAACGCACCTTGACAAAGCGGAGAACTATTGAGCTCTAGAGTATAGCGTCAGCCGGTAGGTCGCAGGCGCGGACAGTCGAGCATCGAGTTTACCTTTCCAACAGCAGACTCTCCTATCACATGTGTCAGTGCAAGGTCCGTAACAGGCATGGAAGTCTAGGGCGTACCAAGAAGGACGAGCTTGAACTGTGCGAAGCGGTTGCTCATGCCGCGACCGCCGGCAGGTGCTCGGGCTGCCATACTGGCTCGAATGGGCGGTTTGCAGAGGAGTCTCGGTGGCGGTTCGGGAAGGTGCGCGGGTGAGCGATGTGCGACCTGACAACGAGGACGGAATCGGGTCCAGCGTGGACCGGACGCTTATCGCAAGCGACGTTTCGATCGACGAAGGCGCAGGGGTGGAAACCAGTCCTGAGTTGGATCCGTTTGTTGAGCCTGCGCGAGAGTCGACGAGCAAGATGGTATCGGTGGGCGGAGCGGATGGACGCTGATGACGGACGTACGTATCGAGACAACACGTCAGACTCGAGAGGCGGTGGTGGTTGGCAGTGTTTTGGTTATGGTTGGCCAGCTGCTGATGGCTGGGTGGTGGCTTGGCCTCGGGGAAGAGAGAGACTGAGGGGGGCGCAGGTGTGAGTTCGAGGCGAGAGACGTGTTCGGGGTGTTAGGTAAGCAGAGGCCCCTACGTAACGCCGAACTAAGCCTCTGTTACTAGTGCGTTGGAGCCTTGAACAGGCCGTCAGTGCTTGAAGCGGCACCTGACTTCAGGTACCTACAGTGGCTGGAGGGAAAGCACCTGCGATCATCATGACACTGAAGTGTGAAGGTCGCTTGTACCTGGCCGTTGGGATGGAAAATGTCTCGCGATACATGCAAAATAACACTTTCAGTCGACGGCTCTATTAAACTTTGCGAAGCCCAGCAGCCTGTCACTCTCAACGCAAACCAAGCCACAAAGCCAAATGACCTCATAGCCCACTCACCCACTGGCAGTCTAAGTGCGTGGACGGGGTGAATGAGTCGCGAAAACATCGACGCTTGACAGGTCGGTCGTTCACTCAATCTAGACTACTTTGTGGCTTCAAGTTTCGCCTTCAACTGACTAGAGAATGTTGCATCTTATAGGAGTAATTGTGGGCGATTGTCTGTGCCAGATGGTATTTGGAAGTTGACCATACACAGATACACAGATACACAGATGCATGTATTCGGTCATGGTATCGCTAACAAGCTGTTGGTACAAATCTGTCGTCACCTCACGCAGGCCGTCATAGTGACTGTGTCAATACCTTCCAAGCTCGTGTTGCCCTCCGGTTCGAACGCTGGGTACATACAATCTTGACAGATTTTGCCTTGTCGTTCGAGGACTCGGTACCAGCCCCGAGACGACCTACAGAGCTTGAGTCGATCTTATGTTCGCGGAGGAGGGAAGCCTCAGAGCAAGGAACAATTTATTTACAGTAACGCCTTATTGAAGACCTAGCTTATATAATATCGATAACCTGAACAGGCACGGTGCTTCCTAGCCAGCTGATTGGCTGCAGGGACGTCGCAGTGGACCGTTGCGACGCCCTACAAAGAAAGAGCTCGTCGAGGTACTACTGTACCTGTACTCGGTGACGTGGAACTTTGGACGACCTGCCTCACTTCATGGCCGCGACGACGAGCCGCAACCTACGATTATCGGCTCAGAAGCAGCAGCAGCCATGGCCCCTCTCGTCGCCTCCAGGCTTCCCTACCGAGACATCAACGTGAGGGTCACAAACGACGCATATACCTTCACCTCACCCTCGTCTCCCGATGCGCCCGCCCTGCTCATCGACCGTCCCACCGGCGACGTCCATCTCGCCGACGCCGCCCTGCATGCCGGGAAGCGCGCCACAAGAGTCTCGAGCATCTCTGGCATCATCGGCATCATCCAGCTCAGACTAGGTCGGCCCAAAATGGCCGCCGCCTGAACATGCAGCGCTGACTCTCTCCTTCTAGACAAGTATGTCGTCGTCATCAGCAAGGCCCAGCCCATGGGCCGTCTTAAGGGCCACATGGTCTACAAGGTCGTCGCCGCCGAGATCCTTCCCATGCGCGAGCGCCAGATCCACGACCCGGACGAGGACACCTTCATCAACCTCCTCACCACCTTCCTCCAGCAAGGCCCCATGTACTTTTCCTACTCGGTCGACCTCACCAACTCGCTCCAGCGCCAATCCCAAGCCGACACCTCCAGCCCGCTCTGGATGAGGGCCGACGACCGCTTCTTCTTCAACAAGTACCTGCAGTCCCATCTCATCGACTTCCGCAGACGAGGCTCCAGGAGCCAGCCCGGCTCCCAGCCCGGCATCGACCCCTACATTCTGCCGTGCATCTTCGGCATGCTCGAGATCCGGCCCACAAAGTTCAACAACACCCCACTAACCCTCGCCTTGATCTCGCGTAGGTCGCGTTATCGCGGTGGGACGAGATACTTTACTCGCGGCGTCGATGAGGACGGCCACGTGGCAAACTACAACGAGACGGAGCAAATCATCATCCTCAACGACACTAGCACTGGCCTCGGTGGCTATGCCGGCAGCTCCGACATGCAGAGCGGCAAGTTTGGCTCCTCGACCGGCAAAGACATGCAGACCATGTCCTATGTCCAGACCCGAGGCAGTGTCCCGACCTATTGGTCCGAGGTCAACAGCCTGCGCTACGTCCCCAAGCTCCAGGTCCGCAGCACCGAGTCGGCCCTGGCGGCTGCGCAGAAGCACTTTGACGAGCAAATCCGTCTCTACGGCGACAACTACCTCATCAACCTCGTCAACCAGAAGGGACGGGAGTGCAGGGTAAAAGAGTCATACGAGCAAATGGCCGAGATGCTCGTCTCGGGGCCCAAGGAGAGGCGCGAAGCCGACAAGCTCACCGACGAGAAGTTTACCACCATTCAGCCCGGGTCCAAGCGACGGGAGTTTGACCGGCTGCACTACATCTACTTTGACTACCACAACGAAACCAAGGGCATGAAGATGCACAAGGCGTACGCGCTTGTCGAGAAGCTTCGCGATGCCCTTGCCGCCCAGGGCTACTTCCGCGGCGTCGACACACCGGCCGCCATCGACGGCAGAATCGACGTCCGCGGCCTCCAGACAAGCGTCATGCGCGTCAACTGCATGGACTGCCTCGACCGGACCAACGTCGTCCAGAGCATGTTTGCGCGTCACATGCTCGACCGCATCTTTGAAGACGTCGGCCTCATGTCGCGCGGGGCCAGCTTCCGCGACGTGGATCCGGCCTTTGAGCACATATTTCGCAACATATGGGCCGACAATGCCGACGTCGTGTCCTCGTCGTACGCCGGAACAGGTGCCATGAAGACGGACGTGACGCGCACCGGGGCGCGGACCAAGATGGGCGCCCTTCAGGACGCGCGCATCGGCCTCACGAGGTACTTTCTCAACAACTTCCGGGATGGCCCGCGCCAGGACTCGTACGACCTGTTCCTGGGGGCCTACCAACCGGGCGCGTCCACCATCGGCACCAGCCTCGTCTTCGTGGACAGGCGCCCGCTTCTCATCCAGTCCATCCCCTACGTCTTGGCCTTTAGCCTCTTCATCGTCCTTGTGGGCATCTTTACCAAGCGCGACTCGGACGCGAGGGTGCTGCCCATGCGGCTCTTCATCTTGTTTTGGACGGCCGTTGCTGCGTGGTGCTTCCATTTCATCTGGACCCACGGCATGCTCTATGTAAGCACCCGCTCCTACCCTCTTGTTGTTTCACTCTCAACAACAGCGTTGCTCATGTCGTTGCTCTTCCTCACAGGTGAACTGGCCCCGCCTCAACCCCAGACCCTTTGCCGTCGACGGCTACGGCGAACACTTTTCAAAGGCGCGCAAGGACGCCCTCATCGGGCCGCTCGTCACGCGGCACGAGCGTGGGCTGAGCGCGGCAAGGTACATGAATGCCGAGGAGGGCAAGAAGAGGATTGAATAGATTAATTTGTGGCTCTACATTCTTGAAGCACATATTAGAGCCCTGCCACGCCGTTTCTCATTAATAACCGCATCTCTTGTTTGATTAGACTGTATTCGCGCTGTCCTACAAGGCGGGAGTAAGCCTCCCCAGGGGGAACAAATAGAGGAGCAACAAAGGCTGAGAAGGGACTGGCTTTGTTTCGACCCATGGGGGTTTTTAGAGTATCTATATACCATTACCATCAAATATATTCCTCCGGCCTGTCTTCTGAATGCTCAAACAAGAAAGTATGCAGCGAGGAACAAAGAACGAGGCCAGTGGTTCTCCGGCCAAAGCGGACGCTCCTAAGCTATGCATCGCATCGAAGAAAAGCAAACAGGGAAAAACGTATAAAGGCATCCCCTGACGCACCCGAATAGACGAGATATGAAAGAAAAGAAACAAGCGTGGGTATCAAACTGCTACTAAGCATGCAAGCCACGCGGGCAATCCAAATCCCCGTCTCTCGGTCCTCGGCGCGAGTACAGATCGCCATGCCCTACAGGCGAGAGCGTGCAAGAAAACCGGTTACATGTCAAGAACCCGGGAGTCAACGGGGGAGCCGCTACATCCAAAGCAGCCACTTGACGCTTCTCCACGCGCCCTTGCCGAGGCCCAGGACGACGCGCAGGATCATGACGACGAACCAGACATACCACATGAGCCCGACGAGCAGCCACTCAACCATGAGCCACAACGCGCGTCGCACCCAGCGGAGGCGGCGGCGGCGGCGGCGGAGCATCTTGTCAATCGTGTCCGTCACGTGCTTGACCTTGAGCGGCTGGCCGAGCGCCAGGTCCCTGCTCGTCTCGTCGGCATCGTTGGCCGCCCTCCGCGTCATCTCGGAGAGGTCGTCGACGAGGCGTGACCGCACCTGTCCGATGCGCCGGTGCAGGTCGGGGCTTGTCCGAGTGGTGAACCTGTCCGCCGAGATCTGCCACCGCTGGCCCGACGCCTGGATTGCCGACGCGAGCGTCTTGGCCGCGAGCGGATACAGCTCGCAGAGCGCAGCCTTGTGATTGCGCAACTGCTGCTTCTCCGGGCTGAGCCGGGCGATGTCTGCCCACTCTATGCCGGCGCGGTTGGCTTCCATGGAGGCTCGGTTCGCCGTCAGGGCTTCGTTGCTGAACGGCTCGCAAATCTCGTTTGCCCGCCTGCTAATCTCCATGGCCTTGATGCCGGAGCTTAGAATCAGGACCCTCATCCGGGCAATTTCGCGCCGAGAAAGCTGAGTCTTTGCTGTGGAGTAGCCAAAGTCCGCTATCGACCAGTGTCGGCTCTGCCTTCGGTCGGCCGGATCGGACGCTTCGGGCTCTGCTGCATCGTCGAGACGCCTATCTGCGTTCCGGACGCCCTCAACGACACTGCCATGCCATGAATCCGACTCCCAAGCTTCCGAATCGCCGATACGAGCTTTTCGGTGCGTAAGAGGAGAAACGGAAGGCGAGGCACTCCGGGTCCCGACCAGGGGAGGCTTGAGCAGTTCGAAGCGTGACGATCGGCTGCTCTGACTCGTCACTCCGTCCGCCGCTTCTTTTGCGTGACCATCGCCGGTGCTGTGCGAGTGAACTCCAGCAGCATGGCTGAACTCGGGCATGGAGTCAACGAAATGTTTAGAGCCGCGGCGGCTCTCGTCTGGCGTCCCCGTCGACTGCCCGTGCAATGGCGGCGACGATGTTCTGTGCCGCCCGCGCGCCCGCTCGCCTTCTGATTCATCAGTTGAGTCTACTTCGAGCGACGGTTCGCCCGACCCATCCTTCTTCCAGAGAATATCGCTCAGCCTGGACACGCCGCCTTTGATGACGGTGTCGATGCGAGGTCCCTTGAACATGCCACGCAAGCCAGCGCCCTGTTCATCCAGCCGCTGCAGCAGACTGCCGGATCTTCGATGCGTTTTCCAACCTTCGGACGGACGGTCAAAGGAAAGTTTCTTTATCGGGCTCGATGTGCGCCTATGCGGCACGCCCACCTTTTCTGGTGGTGGGTTTGGGTCCTGAGCAGGTGCTCGACGGTCCACGTCTTGATCCACATCGGTCAGAGGAGCACAGTCGCTACTGTCGCCGCTCTTGTCACGAATGATGTTCTTGATCTTGCTGAGCGGGTTCCTTGTAGGGGATCCCGAGCGGCTCCATGTAGGGGAGAATGGAGGGCTAAGGGTGCCTGGCTCTGCGACGTTGGATTTCGAAGGCAGAAGCTCCGGTGATGCCACAAGCGACGTGACCATTTCCGATGGGTTCGACGGCAATTCTGGCACCTCTGCGCCCCGCTGATGTCGATGCGGTGATGCTAGCCGGGGTTTGTCAGAGGCGCCTTTGCGATCCGAGTCGCTCGTGTCGGCCATGGAACCTGGTCTGCTCAGAGAGTGACTGAGAGGCGGAGACAGAGGATTCTTCATCTCAGGAGACATGATGGCGGGGTAGCTGGTTCGCTCGTCATGTGCGCCAGCTCCTGCAAGCTCCCGCTCACGGGCTTCCTTGGCAATCATTTCCATCATCTGCTTCTCCAGTAGGTCGTTGGTGTTGCTGGTGAGCGTCCCGCTCCGTCCGAGCCGCATTCTTCGCCGCAGGTCATTCTTGACCTCGTTGTCACTGCCCGAGAGATCCGAGGCCGAGTCTTTGCCCAGCCGCCTAAAGTCGTGATGGTGCAGGTGATGGCCGTGTAAAGAGCCACTGTGCCGATGCGGGAATGTTTTGATGTTCTGGAACTTCTGCCTAGCGCGGTCTCTCGCGCTGTTATTCGAGAGGTCTGAACCGGCCTTTGCGATCCCAGGGCCTTTCGTGTCTGGCGGACCCTCGGGCTGGCGCGATTGAGGTGTCATCGTATGATCTGGAGTTTGGCTGTCGCCAGACATGGGTCTAAACAGGTCTGCAGCGGGCGGAAATATTCTGCGCCAGTGCCGATCCTCGATGAGATGTTTGTGATGGTCTTGCTCGAGCCAGTATGCGTCGGCCACCATATCGCAAGGCTCGACAAACCAATCGACCCTTGGGCGCCTTTTGTGCGCGGCAGCCCTCGAAGTAGCAGGATCCGATGACGACTGGCTTTCCAGCCCGTCGGCGCCGGGGAAAGACGGCAGAGCGGGCCCGTCTCCATCGTCGGAGAAGGCGGGGAGCGATGATGATTGTTGACAGACTCTGTCGACCCATGTCCTGACACTCTCGACGTCTCCAAAGCCTTGGCGCTCTGCATCAATCACCTTGCGCTCGCGAGCTCGGATCTTGCGGTTGCGAATGTACTGCAGTGGGTTGTATTGGCGGCCTGCGGAGAGGGACACGTTGTTACGCGAGCCGAACTTGGCCATCTTGCTGCCCGACGGAGAGGTGGGAGGGCTAGCCGTGGTATGACGCTGGAAGCCGGGGTCCAGCGGGGGTAGCGTCTCCAGAAGCCGTCTGTATTCCGCCATGAGCTCCAGGTGTTCCTTTGCCTTTTGGGCTCTGGCCAATGTCGAGGAAGAGAAGTGGTATCGATACTGGCTGTCGTGGGTCGGGTCGGCGACGGGCTGCGAAGGGCCACTCAACCATACGCCAGAGGGCACTCTGGACGAGGTGGCCAGCTTGGGCCTCGGGCTGGTGGTTCGAGAGGAGCGACGTTGCTGTTGTAGGTGCTGTCGCAGGTTGCTGGCCGAGCTGCTGTCCGGCACGGGAGCGAGGCGCGGTGGGGTGCCCCGGGAGATGTTCCTTCGTGATGCGATCCTGCGCGACTCGCTCAGGCTGAGGGCCATGTTGACAATCTGCGCCGAGTCGACGTCGAGTCTGGCGAGGTCTTGGTGCGGCGAAGTCTGCCTGAGGATGCCGTCGGCGACGGAGTTGTCTGAGTGGGCCGAGGACTTGGCTCGCGAGCGCGGGGATGTCGTGCTCGGCCTCGAGGCGGCATCCGAAGACGGGGCAAGGCTGTCATCTGGTCCAGCAGCAGATGGAATGGAGTCGGGGGTTCGAGGTGCGCGGGGACTGGGGTGAGTCGAATCTGGTGCCAGGCGGCGGCGAGATGGATGACGGTCTCCGGCCACCGAGTCGCGGAGCAAGAAGCCGCCGGAGGAGCGATTTCGAGCTCGCCTCCGCCGGGGAGTCTCGTCGACGACGTGCCGGCCCAGGATGTGATGGGCGCGGTGGCTGCCGGCGGTGCTCGACTCGGCCGTCTCATAGCTTGCCCGGGAGCCAGCTTCAGGCGTGAGGCGTCCCTCACGGATCTTGGGCGGGCGGATGACACTGTGATCCGCCATGGTGCCGGGATCGACGCATGCTGCAGAGGCGGCGGGCGAGCGACGGAAAGGGGAGGGCGGCCTTCTCAATAGGGGTGATGCTGGAACGGCCGACAGCGCGACGGCATCTTGGTCACTTTATTCTGCGGCGATGACGGGCAGCAGGAAGCTTGCGTCGGGCAGAAGAAGATTGGAAGCGCGGATTATGCAGGCATACATGCGCATGGGAGCAAGCGTAGTTGAGCGTTTCGCAACCGCATGGGGGTGGAGGTTGAAGGCGATGCAGATATGCAATAGCATGTGCCGGGCGGTAAAGCCGGGGAGCCCAAGGCGCTAGCTGCCTACCTAGTTCATGCACGTACAGAAAGTAAGCTACTAAGAGACCAGCGTCCGTCTCCCTCGCCCCCCAACTCCGTGACCGTCGAGAACTCACACGAAAGCCGGCACCTTACTGCATCCAGGCTCGAGCCGCCTCCATACCGCCCTGCGGGTGCGTGGCATGAGATGGCATGAGACTTGTCGCGCGGCGGCACGGAGCGCTTCCAGGTATACGAGTCGAGAGCGGGCACCTCTGGGACCTCTGACGAGGCTTCCACTACGGAGTGCTGGGTCTCCATGCCGGCATCCCTCCCATCTGCGTCCATGGCCATCGTCATCGACCGCCGTCGTCGACCGCCGTCGTCGACCGCCGTCGGACGCAAAAGATCCCTGCGCCTCTTGACCTCCCTGCGCCCTCTCTGTCCCGCTCCACACCGTCCCGGCCTCGTGGCCCGCGAGCATCGGTGGCGACTCACATGCCAAATGAAACGCCGCGCAAGCCTCTCACGCATGTGCCGCTGCCAGCTCTCCCGAGGCTCGAAACATGCCACCAACCCTCGCTACCATTTTATCAGCCAACTCCAAAACTCGCTCATTGGTTGCACCCATGTTGAAACCGGCTCGTCAGCGTCTTCCATGAACCAACGCGCGTCCGCCAACGAAGCTCTTCTCCAAATGTCTACAATGCCTCCGACTCCAGGGAGAAGGAGAGGGTATATGGAGTTATGGACAGCCAAGTCAATCATCTTACAGCCGCCGCGCCAACCACTCCCTGACACCTGTCGCACAGCCCTTCTTCTTCCTCCGCCGCGTAGCGCCAGCATCTCGAGCACTTTTGCTGCTTGGGAGGAAGCACACGCACCGTTCCCCTGGCTGCGCCCTGCCACGCAAACTGCCTCGTGTAGCACCAGCTGGGCCTTTCGGGACCGGGCTCATTGAGCTCCACATGCGAGACCACATACATGGCATCCAACTCGTCCAGGTAGTACCCGAGTATGGCCGCAAGCTCGCTGTCCTCGGTAGTCACGGCCACTGAGCACTGTAGCGAGCTCCCGAGAACCTTCGCCTCCCTTGCTTCCTCTAGCCCTGCCTTGACGGCTTCATGCACGGCGGTCAAAGCCGGAAGGTCGCCCCGCAGCTTGCTTCGCGCCACTGTCAAGCGGCTTGGATCCATCACTGGACTGTCGTATAGCTGTCTTGCGGGGTTCTGCAGCGAGCTACCCATCTTGTTAGCACAAAGTCAACAGAGCAGCAACGGCCCCCTTACTCATCATCAGCCATCCACGACGGTCGATGAGACCATGCCTCCTCAACCAGTACCGGCGTGATGGGCGCCAGCATCCGCAGGAATCCGACAAAGATGGGCTCGAGGACTCCGCCACCATCGTCGCAATAAAGCCGATCCTTCAGAGCCTCCAGGTAAAAGGCAGATAGGTCCGTCGCGACCCACTTGTTAATCAGGCTCACAGCCCGGTGAAACTCGTAGTTGTTGACTGCCTCTCGGACCTGCTTCATAGTGTCGCTCAGCTGCAGAATGGCCATCTGATCGAGCTTGGTCAGCGCGGCCTGGCGGCTCGATTCATGGAGTGAGCCAACAATCATCTTAAGCATCGTTCGATACTTGATGAGCGCGTTGTGGATCGGCTGGAGAATCGAGGGCCCGATCAAGATGTCGGTTGTGAAGTCGCTGCTCGCCGCCCAAAGGCGCAAGGCGTCCGGGCCCAATGCGTCCAGTTGAAGTCCCTTGCCTCCCTTTCTCTTTGCCAAAGGTAACAAGCGGCCGTCCATGACCTCCTCAATGCCCACCGTATTGCCCAGGGACTTGGACATCTTCTTGCCCTGGGCGTCTAGCGTGAAGCCGTGCGTGATAAGCGTCTTAAAAGGCGCGGTGATCTCGGCATCGGCTTTGCCGTCTGCCTTTTGGTCGGCCACATATGTCAGCAGACTGGACTGGAACCAGCCCCGGTGCTGGTCCGATCCCTCGAGATACACGTCGACCTGGCGGTTGATTTCCGTCCAGCTGCTTCCGCTGTCGAACCAGACATCCATCGTGTCTGTGCACCGACGATACGATCCTTTTAGCGAAGGGGCTACCCACGCGGCATCGTCTGCATCGTCGGAGAACCATGCCTCAGATGTGCGCTCTCGCATGACTGAGATGATGTGCTCAATGGATTCCTCCGTCATCACCGCTTTCCCATCAGCGTCGTACAAAGCCGGAATCGGGACGCCCCATGGCCGTTGACGAGATACACACCACTCGCTCCTGCCCTTGACAAAGCTCTCCAGGCGGACTCTGCCTGATTCCGGAACAAAGCGGACGTGGCTCAAGGCCTTGAGAGCGGCCTGCTTGATGCTGCCAACGTCGGCGAACCACTGCGCCGTGGCCCTGACAACTACCGGTTGTTTGGTACGCCAGTCGTAGGGATACTTGTGACGGAGATTGTGTGTTCCCAGCACATCATCCCCGACCAGGTCCAGAACCGCCTGGCTGCCTCCCTGTAAGATGGATGGAGCAGACGTCAGGAGCTCGGGCTGGTCAGGATACGCCTCTTTGGTGAAGCATCCCTCGTCATTTACGGGGGCAAAAGCTTCGATGCCCAGACTGGAACAGACTTCGTAATCCTCCTGGCCGTGGCCGGGAGCCATGTGTACCAGGCCAGTTCCCGAGTCGGCGGACACGAAACCCGCATGTACGATAGGCTGTGCGGCGGCGTCTCTGCCACGCAATTTGTTGCGATACTCGAGTCCGGCGAGGTCTGCTCCTGGGATGGCTTCGACGGCAACTTCGAACGGGGGAAGATGATCTCTCAGGGCCTCGATTCGACTTGACGCGACTAGTAGGCCGTAGTCGTCCACACGCAAGATGGAGTACAGCAAGTCGTGATGAACCGCAATCGCCTGGTTCGCTGGAAGGGTCCAGGGAGTCGTGGTCCATACAGCGGCGTACAGGCGCTCGTTGAAGTCGGCAAGTCCCGGAAGCAAGCCGCAGTCGGAGACTATGGGAAATCTAACGTACGCTGTGTGGGAGAGATGGTCATCGCGGTACTCCAGCTCGGCCTCGGCCAGAGCCGTTCGCGACGAGGGCGACCAGTAGACAGGCTTATGCTTGCGGTAGATGAGTCCGTGGCGAACCATCTTCTGAAACACTCGCAACTGCCTCATCTCGAACTCGCGGTCCATGGTAGTCCATTTGTTGTCCCACTCTCCCATGATGCCAAAGGAGCGAAAGCCTTTCATCTGTTCCGTGATTGTCTTGCTCGCCAGCCGCCTCGCCGACTCGCGGATCTTGACCGGGCTCAACCCTTTGGCGGGGATTGCCCCCACAGCCTTCATCTCAATGGGGAGGCCATGGCAATCCCAGCTAGGCCTGTACGCCACGCGCTTCCCGTTCTGGATCTGATGCCGAAGGATCATGTCCTTGAGGATCTTGTTGATTGCGTGTCCGATGTGCAGCGGCCCATTGGCGTACGGGGGGCCATCGTGGAGCACAAACTGGTCGTCTTGGGGCCGATGGGCCGCCTGCCATTGGTATAGGTCGTCGGTGCATTGCCGCAGATACTGTTGTTGGAGCTTCGGGTTCGGCCGGGCTCTGGACTCGCGTCAGCCATGCTCTTGTCCCAACGGCGCGTCATTGTGCGTACGGGAAGCTCGAGCGAGGCAGTCTCAGCGTTGCCTTCCAGGACTTGGTCATATTTGCGTTGGACACATGCCGAAGGGTTGGCTGGTCAAATTGAGGCCTCGCAGAACAGCTCGAGGTGGGTTGTTGTAGCTACAATTTTTAAGCTGTAAGCCGAAGCTGGGGATATTCGAGCGCGCAGAGAGCACGAAAGTAGTGGGGCTCAGAGTCGTCATACGCAAGGTACGAAGTACCGCTGATTTCCAACTCAAACTCCGGCTCGGCATTCTCGACCGAACAGTTCCCCAACTCTCAAGGCGCAGAATGCCCCTATCCATCGATCGCGAGAGATGGCGCCGGTACGCCGTTACCTGAGAATATCAAAATACTCCGTCTTGGAGTGCCGCATCTACCTCGACAACCCAGCGCTGGCACAGTCATGGCTGCTGAATCCGCGCGACCCGATCCTCCCGCGCGTCATCGAGAGCATCCGTCCACTGGTGCTGCCCAAGCTACGAGAGGAGAAGGAGAGAGGCAAGAAGAAGAGCTCCAAGAAGAAGGGCATCAAGGACGTCATTGTTCAAGGTCCGCCTTTCCCCGAGCGTCGTGGCCAAGCTGCCCGTTGATCGCGGCGATAGATGATTTTGAAGTCTCCATGTTCCTGACCGAGACGAGCACTCGGCATTCGCTGCTCACCAAGCACAAGCACTTTCGCGAAAAGGCGCCGCCAACGATGCAGTCCAACTCGACGAGACTCATTGGCGAAACGGATCTTGTGCCCGTCGACGTCGACGCCGAGACGGCTGCGCCGGTCCTGCGCGAGCAAGACAGCGATGACGAGGGCCCTCGCCTCGCGGCCATTCGTCTGCCTGAAACGAGGGCGCGGCGGAAGCGTCAACGCAACGTGGCCATCAGCGGCGAGGACGGAGAGTCCGCTGACGACGACGGCGCAGCCTCGGCAATCGAGATAGACTCGGACGCCGACGAGCCAGCTCCGAAACGTCCACGCGGTGTCATGAGGCCAGATGACGACGACGACGACGACAAGAAGAAGATGGCCATGGATGTATCGTACGACGGCTTCGCCATCTACGGCCGCGTCCTCTGTCTGGTGGTCAAAAGGCGAGATGGCAAGGCTCAGCCCGCAAGAAGCGATGCAAGGGGATCCAAGTCGGCCGGGCAGGGGCAAGCCAGGATGGAGAATTGGATCTCATCTACGCAAATGCCCGTAGGCGAGGAGGTGCCGTAAGAGCTGTAAGCCGAGGTACGGACGCCGTGCCTATGTGCGGTACAATGAGGTGGTTTGCGACTTGCCACGCAGTTGCGGTCTGGGTCTCATTCAACGGTGTGCATGTGTCGTGTATAAACTCGCCTCTTGCATTCGGCACCGCCGGGGTTCAAGACGATCATATTCCCTGTCCGTGGCGTGGCGTACGGTTTCGCGCGCCTAGAGGCAAGGGGACGCGGGCTACGACGTTGCTGCCTGGAGGTACGCACAAGGTTTGCAGAAGCGAATGGCTATGCGGGCCTTGGAAGTTAGTGAGATGAAGCAAAAGGTCGGAGCGAGTTGGCCAGCAATTTCCATGGAGAAACAACATCATGCTATCCGCACTTGACTTCCGATATGTCTGCCGAGGGACGACGTGGCAGGGATATCGCCTGCCGCACCAAGGGTGCCCATCGACGGCTTGGTTTCCCAGCATGATCCGCAGGCTACGGGGTTTTCCAATGTAAACGCCGACGGCGACTCGCTGGGCCCCCAAGGTGCCCTGCTCAAGTGTCGCGATTCAGTGCTTTGTTGGCAAGTGTCGGGGCGAGTGAGATGCCTCGAAACAGGCTTTTGATTGGTGACGAACTGGCCTATTTCTCGCATGATGTGACGACCACTTCTCACACACAGTATTTGTACACCGGGGCGGCAGCATATACACGTGTCTCTCGGAGAGAGCCACAGGGATGATGAGAAGCCAGACACATGACGAAACGTCTGACGAGCAACGGGGGGATGCTTCTAAGAGATGGACGGTGACGACGAGCGTGGTGCAACTTGACTTAGGCAGGTCAGCAGACCAGGCTTGACGGCTCGGGACGGCGGACCAAGTCGCAATTAATCATGTTCGAGGAGACGAGACAAGACAATCAAGCCGTGGAATGCTTTGGTGCGTGTCAGGAGGCGATACAGACGCGAGCTTGTTAAACAGAGGTTGAGACATTGATATCGCCATTGCATACTCGCCGTCTCACCCCCAGACGGGTCTGCCCGCAAGGTCGATCACGGTCAACCTCGATTCCCCACCTTTGAACCAATTCTCGCAAAAGGAGCATTCACGAGCGTTGATTGGGAGGAGGGGGGGGGGGGAGCCAAGCTGCAGCGAATGCCGGGACGGCTCACTCGCTGACGATGGGCTTACGGGCGGAACCTCCAAGGTCCATGCAGGGCTAATAATAATAAGTGGCTTCAGACCAACATTGCCCAACATAAGATGGCGGGACGAGGAGAGAAGAGGGATTGCGGCGTGGAGGCGATTCGGGGCGTCATGGCACCTTCTCTTTTTCTTGCAGGGGACGCGTGCCGCAGGCTCGGGGGTGGTTACTCTGCAGAGTCGTCGAATCCCGAAGCTCTCCCTCGACGGGTGCTTTTGCATGCGTTATGCAGCCTGCGGTGCCGCGCCATCTGGAACCCGTCGTTGCCATCCATCTTACCAGCTGGTTGGCGTGTATCATCACGCGGCCCCTCTCCTCGGGAGAAGGAGGCATTGTAGCCGCCGCGCGCCGCCCTGATCCCAACCCAGGCCCAGGGGAAAGCCTCTTTGCCACTCGGTCGTGGCACAACTCGCTCCTGTCACAAGCGCGAATCCTTTCGGACAACGGGACAAGGGGGTGGTGCCTGTTTTTTTTAGACAAGGCCCGTCTGACGTGTCTCTTGGTCGAGCTGACCGGGCTTCGGGAAAAGGTCTCGTCACTTGACAATGGGGCCCGTCGCCTTCGCAGCGATCGAGAGGCCGATAAGGTTTTTTGGGTGAGCACATTCGACGCTGTGTAATGAAGGAAGGATGCGGCTGTGGTTGGTGGCCGAGTGGAGGAGATGGGTGGGAGGGAATCCTTCAGCAATGGCGACGCAGAAAGGCCAATGCAGTCGGAAATACCGGGACAAGACAAGATGACAGCAGGTACGAATACGAGTGACGGGGCACTCTGAGATTCTCTTGTTCCACCGGCCGGCAGAATCGGTTAAATGGCGAGAGAAGAGCAGCGATGCCTTGAGACAAGAGTCGACGAGGCAGCCGGGGCACGAGGCCAGAGGTCGTCAGCCGGCCGCTCTCCAACCCTTGGCCTGTGTCGTTCTCGTCACCTTTGCCCTTTCCGACGATCCGGCACACGCGCAACGTCGGCGAGCCCGTGCATATCTGACTGCAGGAGGCCTTTTTTTCGTGGAATTACTTGTGGGACGGTGCTGTGTGATAGTGTACAGCAGAGTCTGCTGCACGTGGCCGGCGGCGGCGAATGGGAGTTTTTTTGCTGGCTTGCAGAACGCATTGTATCGTACTGTACATGCGAGATGATGGTGTGATGTGTTGTATGAGCCTGCTTTGGCGGTCGAGGAGTCACCTACATGAATGCGACAGCTGGCCAAAGGTCGTCGGCCACCTGTCTAGATATTAATCGACCCCCTTGAGTGTGTGCTCAGTCAGGTACTGTACTGTACATACAAGAGGGCGCTGACCACTGGTCATTTGCCTCGACCCCTGCTCCTTGTCTCCACGTGGCACTATTGGTGGCTGAGCCCCACGACGTGTACTCCGTACAGTACACAAGTACGGACGGAGTATCTACATTCATTAATCAACCAATTCGGTTCTTCGCGCCTTGTCCGTAGGGAATGTTGCAGGTACATACACTGTCGGCTACACTGTCGGCAGGTGAGAAAATTGACACCGACACTTGCTTTGGCCTGTGCACTAATTACCAGGACTGTGCCTCGACAGCACATGCACTCGGCGACTGTGGCGTCATCAACAAGTCACACCAGAACAAGTAAAATATCCCCGCCCACAATAATCGCTTGTCTCGCTTTGACGAGGGCCTCGAATGCGTCTCCGTGTGCCACCAACACCTTCTTCTCGCTGGCGCCAACGGCATCGATGATGATAGACTCAATGCCGCGTGTGCTGTAGCGCCGTCAACCACGCAAGCAATCGACGCCTGATACTCTCCGATTGGCCCGGCGGGCGTGTAAGTTGCTGCTGATGGCTGCGCGCCCCGATGGGTTAGTTGGCGATAGCTCCTCTAACCGCCCACACCCTCAACTCGCAACTCTGGTTCAGCTGAAGGCTGCGCGACTGGCCCTGGGCGCGATAAGAGGGAACACCCGTCGCACCCGGCGCCAAGCAGTAAACGGCTTTAGTGGCCATTGGCTGGAGTATTATTCAGCGCCCGAGGGACCGGTTCCCGTGTGTCCGTGGTTGGGGCCAGCCAAGTCACCGTGCGTTTGACAAGAGGGAAGGCAGCTGTCTGGTCTGGACAGGGATTCCCGTCGTCAGATGACAACGGGACTGGGGAACAAAGAGGAGGGACGGTGCCGTGCGAGTATGTACCCGGCTCGCGAGTGCAGAATACAGTAGGTACCTTACCCACCATACATACATACAGTACAGTACAGTACAGTACATGCAAGGCACCAGGAGCATGAGGCACGGGGCACGGGATTGACTGCGCTGCCGTGCGACACCAGACGACTGGCAGTTTTGGCTGTTTGGCGAGCCGGGGACAAAGGGGACAAAGGGGGGAGGAAAGAAGAAGAGGCTTGCAAGGGGCCCCTGGTATCGTACGTACTGCCGAGCGAGATCACCCGAGGGAAAACGGGCACGATTGCTGATGCCGCTGCTGCACGCCCTTCCGCATCAGTCGCAGCTCGCAAGGCAGCGCGGCAACACGGGGACGGGGCCAATGAGCATGCCGCTACACGGCAGCCACAGCGCCGTCTTGCTCCCTCCGCATTGGGCGGCGGCGGCGGCCCGTCGCCGGGCGAGCAAGCCATCATCCATCAATGAAGCGGCCTTGATGGTATGATTCCACGCAACGGCATCCGAGACAAAGCAGTGGCCATCCCAGCTGGCTGGATTCTGCGGAGAGGACGAGGTCCAGTCTGGCCTGGAACACCTCCTGGAACACCGCAGACTGGACCGGGCGGCTTTATCTATCTAATAGACAGTCGATATCTCATATAGATATCGACTGGAAGCAAGCGAAAAAGAAAGGGACAAGGCAAAAACGGGTCTCGGGAAGAGGGGGTCGCGCCGGGTGAGATCTATCGACGTGGTGAAGGGTCTCGGCCCACGCCACGACAGCGAATTCTGGTGGAAGCTCAGCTGTGCTGGCCATTCTCACCAAGCCCGGGCGTGATGCAGGTACAGAGATTCAAGGGACTCAAGAGGCAAGAACTTGTTTTTCGCCAAAAGGAAACCTGTTGAAGCAACAGCCCAGGCCGTCTGCCAAGAGCTCATCCCGCGCCGCTCATGTCCCGAGCAGGAAAAAGCAACGACCAACGCACGCACGCACATTCGGAGACGAGGAGCTTATTGTCGGCCCCCCACCTCTTGTGGCGCTGCCTGATTTTCATCTCAGCGTGCCGCTGTCACCAGGGCTTGGCCCTGCAGGTACCTACCGGACACCCAGGCGCCGAGCCAGGTACCTGATGTCGAGGAGCGTGTTAGTAGTAGGACCTTGTACGGAGTACCTACTTTGCGGTGGGTAACTCGGCACGAGTTCGCTGATGCTCGGACGTGGCAGCGTCTGAGCGCCGCAAAGGATGACATCGTCATGATGGCACGATGCAAACGAGAAGAAAGGAGAGGAAAGAAAAATACGCCCAGGCCACGCAGACGCTGACCCGGCTCAGAGATCGGCAGGCACCATCAGACTGGAGCAAGTGGTGAGGTCAAGATGACTTCAGAGGCGGTTTCAGACTCGACGGCAGAGGACAATCATCATGTCATGTGCACCATCATCACGACATGCGCCGATCAGCTAAAGGGAAAAATCTGACACCCCGTCACTCGGTGGGCGCACAACTCGGGGCCGCCGCAACACCCTCGCGCCATTTAAGTAAAGTACAGGCTCATCGCGAAGCAATCGCGAAGCGCATCGTGGCGCCCGAAAGCGTTGATGGGCTGCCGAAACAGACGAAGACACAGCTGTCAGATACATGTTCAAAAAAATGGAGAGCAAAAAAAAAAAACTGTCAGCTGT